AAATTGTGAAAAATTGAGATCACATTGTATAACAACAATATGAAAAAAAATATTTGAATTTCTTATTAAACCCTATGAGATATTGAGTGGTTCATGATAAAAGAATCACTCTGTATATGTCATGTAAAAAAATTACACTGGAAATTAGCCATATATTATAGCCCGTATGTATCTAAAAAAATATTAAATTAATATAAATTAAGCGTTTTTTAACTTAACAAGTTTAAGGACTGATGGTTTTGATGGATTAGTTGCATACATTTTTCTTAGTATGTATAAATTTATTATAATAACTCTGTTAACTTTCACCATGTATATACTATATATATATTATTTATGTACACTGAAAATAACATTAATTGTTATATCAAATGCATTAACTATAATCTTTTGGTAAATTAATTAACATTTTACTTAAATAAATGTGTCTATTGTTCTAAAATACCACACACAAAGGCTAAAGTAACAATAAAAATGTGCACCGTCAATAAACTCGAACGAAACACATAATACGTAGAACAAATACATTTTGTTCCATTAATAAATTATTAATAATGACAAGGAACAAATACATTTTATTTGTTCCGGAACGAATATCTCGAGGAACGAGTTCCGGGTATTTGTTCCGGAACAAATATATTGAGGAACGAGTTCCGGGTATTTGCTCCGGAACGATTGCAACAGGGAGTCATGAAGGAACATGTTAGGTTAGTTAGAACAAGGAAAGTTAGTATTTTCAAACCAAGCACAGTGTAAACCAGCAATGGTAGAAAGTATTAAATTGAGGTGCTGTGTTTACAAATAAGCATCAAAGCGTTTTTTTTTATAACATTAAACAGTGTGCACTATTCAAATATAAAAAATAAAATATTGCGAAACAACCTATGTCAAATTGCTAAGTTTCAAATCAAGTAAAATTATGTATTCTGATCTAATGACAAAAAAACATTGGTCGAGAACACTAGTCGAATTTACTGTCTAAAAATGTAATTTTCTTGGGATTTACATGTGTTTTAACTATTAACATAACGAACCAATCTAAACCTATTATTACTCAATGGTATTATGAAACTGCTTAGCCAAAATTCAACGGGGTTGTGGGAGTGTTGTCTGCGCCCAACATTTTATTTAGGACTGATTACTGCATACAAATAATATACAAGATTAATCAAATTGTTATGAAATTTTGCGTTATGAGGTTTATTGTTTAAAATAAGTTTTGAAATTCAGAATTTAGTAGGCTCGTAGAGCAGCCGTTGCTGACATAAGTTGTTTTTTTTTAATTTTATATTTTTTTTTTAAATAAATTAAATACAGTAGCTGCGAAACACGTCATTCAAATCATTAATTGAGAAATTTCTAATCGAAATTACGGTTTGAGGAGTTGCTATTGAAATAATATACATAGACAACAGCTAAACCTACCTTAACTGTTGTACATTTATTTTATATAAACATTTGTCAAGTGTCCATTAGTACTTATGTTTATAGGTTAGGTTAGGTTTATACATTATAACGCAAAATATTATTTCTATAGGTAATATAATTTAATTTTGTGCTAGCGTTGCATTTTTGTAAATTCACTTTATGTCCATTCACTTTGTTGTGTATAATATACTATATTAGTTTTCAAGCTTTGTTCGAGCTTGATTTATACTGCACTGTTTTTTTTTTTAAATAACACTAATTTTTTGGTAGTACATTTTTTCAGACCATCACAGTCTCCTAGACAGCGGCTTAAAAAAGGCATGTAAAAAAAAACAAACTTTATTGAGTAGTGCTACAATATTTTGATCATAATATAATATAGATATTTTCTAGTTTCTAGAATTTTGTTCTAAGTTTCTAAAAATGTTCAAAAAAGCCAAGTGAACTAAACACATGTTTATTACTTATTTCTGTTATTTTGAAAATAAACATGCCAATAATTCATTAATTTTGTAGGGGAAGTTTTCAGCTGTAAAAATATATAATATTTTATTGCGTCCCGTTGCATCTCCAACGCACAAAAATGTATGGCAGCCCAAATTTGGGCCTCTGGATAAAGAAATATGTAGACGGTGTTAGAAAATAAAAGCCATGCAAAATTTTTAATTTTTTGAGAAAATTGTACCTATACGTTTTAGTCTCATTCTATATGTATGTAATTTTGGTCTAAACTTACCTTTTTAGGGGGTGGGGGAAAGGGTTTATGAACTTTAACACTGTGGTTTCGGTTAGAACAATTTGTGATAATATGGACGTGTCCTCCAAATTTGTAGATAATATCCATAACAATCCACTAAAAAACACTAACCAACATAATAAATATACTTAAGTGTGATATTGATATTATGCAGAACGACAAGGTTAGATTGAATAAGGAAGATCTTATAACAGAGCTTAACTTGTGTACGACAGTAGATAACTGATATTCTACTACACATTTTAAATAAACATGGGAACCCAGAAATTCATAGACTTGATATTTGGCGGCATAGAAGTTAAAAATACGAACGGAGTACCGTTCCCAGTTTCTGACCTATTTTCTGTAAAATTTAAAGTTAGAACCGTGACTTAATCATTCGTGTAAAATTAATTCTATATATTGAATGTTCGACTTAAAACATTTTTTTTTGGGCAAAATATTGCAAACATTTTTATACTTTGGAAATCACTAAATATTAAGTTTTATCTCGCTCTTTGATAGGTCTTGTGTTGTATATAAAATAATGAAATAAAGTCTAGATTAATCCACTTGTATTTTATTAATTAAGTTACTAGACTATTAAAGCTTATACAGGGTGATTCTTTTATCATTAAACATTATGGAAAAAAAATTTAATTATCAATTAAACCCAGTGAGTCATTGACTGGTTCATGATAAAATAATCACCCTGTATCTAACACGAGTTTTGTACTTTAAATACGAATTTTATTTCGTTGCTAACCCAAAATAAACGAATGACGATGAATTTTTTATGTTGTGGCCAAACATTTTTTAGTAGTTTTTCAATATTTGGCTTTAATTGATTTATTGGCCCACATTCACTCGGTTAGTTATGTTGAATCAATTCTATGTACCACGGGGACGCTTTTCACAATTGCAACTAGATCTGGGACTAGGACTGGGACCCTTGAGTAAGAGGGGCACATAATGAATATAATGTAATGTACATAATATGTAGATACAAAAAAAAATCCGAGACGGGGTATGCTAAAGCTTTACAGTTGTCTCCATTATTATTATGTATTTGTAGGCAAGTCGATAAAATGGCAAAACATTCTACGAATTGTATTTTTTTGGGGGGTTTTCTATGTGCTCGCAATAATATTTCATATGTTGACAAATTTCACTAAACAGGCGTATTGTTCAAGGGCCAAGTACACAGTTGTTTTGATATACAGGGTGTTCCAGCATGAAAGGTAAGTAATAGGTGATTAGACATTTGGGACACCCCCAAATAAGACCCCCGTTTTTATTTTTTCGATAACTCAAAAATTGAAGGTTTCATCAGTTAAGTAAAAAAATAATGACCTAAAAAAACAAAATAATTTTCCCTGTTATTCAGTACAAAAAGCTCACCTTAAAAGAGGGGTCGAATCATTTTCAGTCTTTTTCAGCCCCCAACTCTTCTCTTATCACTTATCTTATCATTTTTTTCTTACCTCTAGACTCTAACCATTCATATGTTTTACCAATTATTTCTTATCTTTTATCTCTTATCATTTATTTCTGTTCTCTAATCATTTTTTGAGTTAGGGGCCGAAAGGGACTGAAAATGATGTGACCCCTCTTTCAAGGTTAGCTTTTTGCACTGAATAGCATGGAATATTTTTTTGTTTTTTGAGGTCATTATTTTTTTACTTAACTGACGAAATCTTTAATTTTTGAGTTATCGAAAAAATAAAAACGGGGGTCTTATTTGGGGGTGTCCCAAATGTCCAATCACCTATTACTTACCTTTCATGCTGGAACACCCTGTATATATTATATTCTTTTTAAATGGATTTTTAGGTAATATATATTATATTCTTTTTAAAAGTATTTTTCTACACCCATAAGATAAATATCAAGTTTGCAAAAAAAAACACGACTAAAGTACATAACACCTAGTGTATTTTTTTTTAGCTGCCGAAGAAGTATTATATTTTCAGGTATTTGTACACAAGTATTGTGTTTGAAAAAAACCAAACTTAATAGCGTTCGCATTTTGTTTTTCTTCTTTTTGCACATAACGTATCCCTGGTTATTGTAAAAATTCAAAGCAGTAGTGAAAACAAATAGTTGGAATGGACTAGATAATAAAATACATGTTTACTTATTCGGCGAACATTATTTTTATTGGTAGACAGGTATCTATGTAGTAGACATTATATCATTTAAGTGATAGGTAACAAAATATGTTATTTAGAATACGCATTGTTATTAGAGAAATCTTAAAGTCGAAACATAATTATGATAAACAAAGTTAAACGTTTTACAATATACACGTATTAGTGAGCATATGTATTTTTAAAAATGTGACACGGATCTTGGACACTGTAGTTTTGGTGGTAAATTTAACTATCGTTGGTTTCCAGCTATTAAAATATTGTGTCAAAAAATCGATTACTTATACATACATTGTAATTAAAATTAAGGGTTAAGCTACCTTTGTATATTATTTAGTATTCTCATAGTAGTCTCTCTAAGTAATCTAAGGCTTTACTTCTACTAGTACCCATTGTTTTATTCTCAAAATAATTGTGATTTAAAAATAACAAATGATTATGAAAAAAAAATTCCTACAAACACCCCTCCTAAAACATTGGAAAAACAACTCGAATATTTCTTTTTAACCTATATTGGTATAATAATTTTTAGTTGTTGATCTAACGTGGCCAACTTAATGTTATTCTCAACAATCTAAGGTATCTGTAGTATTTTATACACATTTAATAGCTCTATTGAAAATATTTTTAAAGCAGCTAGTAGCTATGTAAAGCTTGAAAACTGATATTATCATCCAACGTACAGTCATTCGAAAAACGAATAATAAAATTACATATTGTTCAATTTGAATTTTAATACAAAAATATTTTATATCAAAATGTCAAATACTTACTATCATCGCCTGGCGGTAGTGGATCTGAAACAAAAAAAAAATGAATCAAATACTTGTTTTTCCTATTTTATCGTTATTTTTTAAGTGCCTATATTGGTATAAGATCATTTTGGATAATTGATCTAAACCATTTAACTTTGTTAACTACCCATTATGGGTTTTAAACAATGTTTACACATTTTAAGCCTTTTGAAAATAATTTTAAATCTGCTGGTATTCTTGTAAAGGACAAAAACCGATATTATCATCCAACTTACAATCAGTTGAAAAATAAATAATAAAAATGTATATTTAATTTAATTTTTATAACTTATATAAGTTTTATCAATGTCTCAAAGTCTCGAAGACTTACTATTTGCGATCCAAAGGCTTCCTAGCAACCCTGAAACAGTAAAAAAAAAATTTAAACACTTGTTTTCCAATTTTATTTTTATTTTTCAGGTTTATTTTTCACTTCTATAATTTATATACGTTTTATCAAAGTCTTAAAGACTTACTCATTGCAGTGTCTACCGTTCGTCTTGTTACTGGTGGTCGTGGTGGTATAACATCTGAAACACCGAAAAAATAATTGAAATACTTATTTCTCTATTTCATTATTATTTTTTAAAAAATGTTTATCTACTTATACCTAACCTTCAGTTAGTTCTTAACTAATTGTATAATATTGCTAATATACATGGTGGAGTTATTCTTATATTCAATGGTTTAATACATTTATAGCATTTTATACACATTTTAAGCTTTATGGGAAATAATAAAAAAAAACTGCCTCTTGATTGCTGGCCGTCTGAAATATCGAAAAAAAAACCACTCATATAACCCATTTGTAACATTTCATACACATTTTAGGCTTTATCGAAAATAATTGTACAAACAGCTGAACTTACAGTCATTTGAAACCCGTTTAGTACAAATATATTCTCAATATCACTTTTATAGCGTATTATAAGTTATGTCAAAGCCTTAAAGACTTACCAATTGCGTTTTCCACCACTTGTTGTGCTGGTCGTGGTGGTTGTGATGGTTGTGGTGGTATAACACCTGAAACACCGAAAAAATAATTGAAATACTTGTTTCTCAGGAAGCGGGCTGAGATTTGTTTTTGTTTTTTTAATAAAGACAATTTTTTTTTTTAAATCTGAAAAAACTATTTTAGTTTTCTTATTGAAAAAAAAATATGGCTTGGTAAATTTTTATTTTTCGCACATTTTGGGAGTAAAATGTGAAAAAAAATGTTCTTTAAGAATAACATTTTATTTTTTTACTCCTAAAAATGAAAATCAAATTTACAAGACATATTTTATTTTATAAGAAAACAAATAAAAATAGAATAAAATCCGCATTCCCGTTATTAGACAAAAATGATTTAAGTTTCGGATTTTATGATAAAAATTTAAAACAGGTCGACTTCTATTATTTTTTTTTAATAACAAACATTGCTAAATTTGTCGTTTTCTACTTGCTAGCTAATTTGGGTTAACACTTGTCTACTAAAATATTATTATAAAGGTAGATGAAACCGTTTAAAACTGCTATTATACTTATCCTTTGTCAAACACAAAAGCCGATATTATCATCCAACTTGCCGTAATCGAAAAGCGTCATTGGAATCAAATCAGCGGCTAAAAAATAGAACAATTTAATGTGTGTACTTCCTTCAACACCTGAAACATGGAAAATAGATTTGTATAATATAAAATATTAATTAATAAATAAATACAGAATTTTAAATTGTTATGTACTTGTAGACACTGCCAGAATAATGAACAGTGCGGCTGTTGGAAACAAAATGATGCTATTAAACTTCATGTTTAAAAAAAAAACAATTAATCTTGAATAGTAACTTGCAAAAAAAATATTAAAACACCAAACGAAATATGAATTTTCGGATTCAGAGTAAAATTGTTTTGTTTAAAACAACTACAGTAATTATAATTCAACTTATTGAATATAACTTGCTCCACTTGCCAAAACAAACCGAAATATTTTTTATGTATTAAAACACTATCTGCTCTATTTGTCAGTAAAATAAGCAATAAATTGGTTATATATTTTAGCATGGCATATACCTGAAGAAAAGAGATATATCCCAAAATGTTTTAACATGGAAAAAAAATAAAAAACATTTCATTTTACCGCGGGTTTTTGACTATTTTCATAATATCTGCGATAAGTTTGCTTTATTTATACCTATTTATATATACCTACAGCAATCTCTTTTATTGTTGAATTTTTTTATTTTTTATTATAAGACTACTAATACAATGTTTATATTTTGTATTGGTTTATACTTAATCCTCTACAATTCTGAATTTTGACGCTGGTAGAAGGTGGTTGCCTTAATCGGGGTGGATTTCTCTGTAGTTGAAACGCCCTCGTTTGTCGTTTTTTTTAACCGGATTTGAGCACTTGGGGAATACTATTGAAATTTACATATAAAGAACGAAACAATACTATACAATGAATTTATTTTGAATCAAGAATAATTTTCCTTATGTCGTTGCTCGGATGGAGGAAACTACACAACGATGAACTGCAATCCCTTTTTCAGCGACCAAATATACTGAAAGAGATTAAAAAAAAAAAGACTGGTTTGGGCAGGACATATAATAATACAGATAGTTAAGTGCTGACTTATATTATATGAAATTTAATTTTAAGCAAAGCATATTTATTTTTAAAAATGGTGGGATTAATTAATATTTTTCCATAAAAGTGGCTGAAAGTTTTTCTTTGATTGTTTTTTTCCAAACCGTAGTTTTAGGAACTAAAATTTGACTTAAAGTAGAGGCAACCAAGTTATACTGTAGTAGTGTAAATCTATTACACGTAAAGTTGGTTTTTTATGTGTTCTAACAGAAAAATAATTTTCAGGGACAAAAAATATTGTGGAAACTTGAAAACCAAAACTTGCATAAAGTTATTAAAACTAATAGTACCCAGTATAGTAGTATCGACCTAAAAAAATAAGAACAAAAATAAGATGGTTTTTTAGTGAAATGTTTTTCGCATATAAAACATTTGTACAAATAGGAACAGTTACGACGACAACAACAGCAGAAAACACAAAAACAATTTCGTTTTTGAACAGAAAATGAATAGATTTTCAATTGAAACCTACGCATCGATAAAATATCTGTTTATATTTTATATTGCAAATTGAGAACAGTTTTTAAAAATACCGGCCATAATATACGGTTTTGATAATAAAAACTAAAACAAAAAAAATTATAAGGATTATGATGCATTGCAAAATGTTACAAAATATATGACATTATGTTATTTTGCAAATAACAGAGTACCTATTTAATACATTTTTTTCTATTAGCCCCATAAAACAATCAGGCTTCACTTTTAGATACTCACATCGAGCATTCTTCAAAATTAAGCTACTTTTTATTTACCGATATTATTTTCAATCAATTTTCAAAAAAATAAATAATTATGTTCACTCTTGACGTGGAGCTTTTATGGTGGGCCAAAATGTGAGTTAATTGAGGCTGTTGAATATTTTTTAATAATTATAATTTCAACTTCAATGTTACTTTAAAAAAATGTTTTACTTTTTTAAGTGGTTTTCTTATATCACAAAAAAAGGTTATGGTAAAAATTGATATTTTGAAGTAAAAATAATATATTGACAAATTTTGATTGGACGAGTATGTGGACCGATATCTGTGCAACGCAAAAGCATTGGGAACAGCATGCTTACTTATTAAACATTGAAGAAAATGCTCTTAAGTATATATTACAATAATAACGTTCTACAATGCATTCAAACACAAGCATCAAAACAAAATTTGTTACAAAAAAAAATAACTCGTATTTTCCGTTTTTTTACACTACCTCAATCCAAGCAGATAACAATTTACTTTCAATTAAAAACAATTTTGAAAAATTGACAATTCTTATTATGTTAAAACATAAAAGATGTATAATACAAACCAAGTTAACAAATCCTCTAATAAATGTATCTCTAGACTTTGTACGATGAATGTAAAAGACGTTTTAATAGAAATGTACAATAAAAATAAAGTATTTTATTTTATTTAAGTAAAAATATTTTGTTTCGTCATTTTTGACTCAACTAATACATTTTCTTGAGCATCTTGAATAAACATAAAATTCAAATAAAATCTAGCATCAGATAATATATGTATTATTAGTATCTGGTATGGAATGAAATGGGAATACAAATGTATACTGAAAGTGATAAAAACACTACAGCAAAATAGGCTTTCAAAGCGAATAAATGGTAAAGATATTAAAAATCTATAAGATCTAATAAAAAATGCGTATCGTCTGTACCATTTATCGTAATCAACTAGCGTATGATTAAATTATTTTTCAGATAAACGATGAATGTAGATTTAGTTACTCATAGCAACCTGGAAATTTAATCTGTAAAAGTGTAAATTAAAAATAGTACTACATTTCACCTTTCCGTCTGCCCTAAACTTGTAACTTTTATAACTTCAAAAATAGTTATCCGAAACGGGTGGTCGACCAGTCAAAATGTTTAGTACGTTATTCTCAATTTAAAAAACTAATAAAATATACACGTTACCATGAAAAATTCAAAAATTTCACTCAAAAGAAAACTAAGTCGGGACGGGAATGTATAGAAAAAAAATTTATGAAAAATTCAGATCACATTGTATAAAAACAGTATTAAAAAAAAAAACGTTTTAATTTCTTATTAAACCCTAATTGAGAGGCCTATGATAAAAAAAATCACCCTGTATATAATTGTGTACATTTTTATTCCTCTATTGGGAAATTGGGCTATTGGTTGAATTTTGGAACACAAATTATTCTATTCGGAAAACTTATTAGTTTCCTTGACATATGTTATGAAATGAAAAGTGTGTTTTCGGATGATCATACGAAAACGCGTTTAAATGGGGTTCAAATGAACAACAGGCTTTTGAAAAATAAAAAATAAATATAGTTTAAAAAAACTAAAAACACGCTTAAATAGTAAAAAAACTAAAAAGTAGAAAATAATTTTCAATATAGAAATCAATTAATATAAAAAATAAATAGTATTTTTGTGAAAAAAGCGTGGGGTGCTACATACATCTGTTCTTGAAAAGCGCCCAACGCTTTTTTCACAATAACACTATTTATTTTTTATATTAATTGATTTCTATACTGAAAATTTGTATTAATTGATTTCTATATTGAAAATTATTTTCTACTTTTTAGTTTTTTTACTATTTAAGCGTGTTTTTAGTTTTTTAAACTATATTTTTTTATTTTCCACTTTTTAGTTCGATGTGCTTTAAAATCGTGTTTATTTTAAACTATATTTATTTTCCACTTTTTTAGTTCGATGTGCTTTAAAATCGTGTTTTTTAATTCTAGTACATACGTGTCTCTATTACTTGAAAACTTCAGGTAAACAACAATGAATACACGCATGTACGTTCGGTTGCCTATCTCTTTTATTTAGTTACATAGTTACATACAAACATGCATACATACAAGTGAAGCTAATATAAGCGTGTTAAAAAAACATTCCAATAAGATAAAAAGATAAAAATCCAAATAACTACAAAGTTATCTAGTATAGGGCGTGTATAGAGTCTTGTGCTAATCATAATTTCTAGTAGCAATGAGTGTATGTTTCTTTAGCCAACTTAACAAAATTGGAATTCTAAGTTCTATTAGTTCTATTAATTTTACTTATAGAACAAAAATCGTACTTAAAAGGTAGTTAAAAGGTACTTTAAAAGTTTACCTCTTCAATAGGGTAATTTTTTGTACGCAGAACCGTTTACATATGTAAATTGTATTTAAGTCAATCCAATATCAATTGAGTTGGCCTGACAAGATATATTTCTTGATGATTAAAGTTTTATACTTTTGAAAAATTTAAATAATTGACCGGTCAACCACATTTCTATAGACACTAATTAAGGACAGGAAAAAAAGAGAGGGAATCAGAAATAGAACCAAACCGTTATTTCAGCCCTTAAATCATTAAATTTGAATTAATTCAAAATGAAAACGCTTTCTCCCTAAGTGGGATGGGATAAAACTCAATTTCAAATAAACAAACAATTATTTTTATAGTTCCATATTAACGGAATGCAGTTATTATATAAATTACAAAACATAATTATTTTCATCACTTCGAACTTCAATTTTGAGAAATCGTATTGGGCCAAAAATCCAAAAATTTAACCCTTTTTCAAAATCGAGAACATTTTGGTAGGAAATATTATAACAAGAATTATGCTTCAATAATAATGTCTTGATAATATAAAATTTAGTGTAAACATTTAATGTAAAACCAATACATGAATTAATTTTAGACTCCAGAAATATGTTTTACTTATACAATCTGAAGCCATTTAACTATTGCAATTCGAATTTTGCCGAGTTGTATTGCAATTAGGACATAACCATAAAAAAAACAAATAATAATATGATTAATAAATAATACTGGCGGATGGCTACTATTAAAAATGTATAGTGTATAGAAGATAAAAAAAATATGGTGCTCAGCATCATTTTTTTTTTTTATAAAAAAATTATATTAACTAAATAAACAATAATTATTATGAAAAAGAATATTTTAGTTTTTGGCCCCTACAAATTTCCAATTACCTGATGAATAATTTTACTATTTTATATATTAACTGTTTTTTTTTTTAATTAAAAATATTTTGAAAATATCATATGGATTTATCATTTTTTCTAGTAATTTTCTTGGGTTTTACATGTGTATAACATAACATGTGTTATTGGCCACTTTTCGGTTATTGGTTATTTTGTGGAATATAAAGCTATGAACCAATCTAAACCTATTATTACTCAATGGTTTTATGAAACTGCTAAGAAAACATTAAATGGGGTTGTGGGAGTGCACATTTTATTTAGGACTGCATAAAAATAATACACAAGATAAAAGATTAATCAAATTTTTATGAAATTACAGTTTATTGTTTAAAATAAGTTTTTAAATTCAGAATTTAGCAGGCTCGCGGTACATTTTTTCAGACCATCAGCAGCGGCTTAAAAAAAGGCATGTAAAAAAAAAAAAAAACTTTATTGAGTAGTGCTACAATATTTTGATCATAATGTAGTATAGATATTTTCTAGTTTCTAGAATTTTAGTTTTTTTTTATTTTAAATCCATTCAAACAATATTATGTCTTTATACACATCCCATGTGGCTATTCTCTACAAGACAACAGCCGAGTGCCATTACACAAAGCTGGCTATTGACATCAGCTAAATTATAACAAAACTAACTAACAAAACTTAATATTATGTAAATTGTGTTACGTAATGTAATAAAAACAAACCCTATGGTGAATCGTTTTTAGGATAATCACAGTGTAATTACACAGGCGGCAGAGGCGATGCCTGTACAACATCCTTGATTTTTTTCCAACAACAATATTTTACAGACAACCCTTAAATGTAAACACAATTACTACACAAGTGTTTTGGGGAAATCTAGAAATGAATTATTAAACTTGGATCGGATAAATTCTGAAATCATCCGTCAACGTTGTATCGATGAAGCGCACGACGTTTCTTTGAAATTTTGTGAAAATTCATTGTGTGTCACTGTCCTTAAAAAAAAATGCAATAGATATTTTATACATTATATAACAGTTTAATAGTTTACATGGAGGCTACAATGACATTTTAGCACTATTGAAAAAAAATGAATCGCACATATTCACGTTAATTGTCATCTACGTTACACGACAGCGTACACAAAGTGATTTCACATTTTTCCGCATCATAAATATAAGCCGTTTATACATTAGTTAACGACCATTTTACGCCTTGAGCGTACATCAATTTTTACGTCGATAAATATATTATTATTGTTTTATCGCGCAGGATTTTTGCAAAATTTAATTGCCGGCTCCCATCATAAACACCACACGCAAGACCACTAGACAACAAGACATAATATAGTGCCGCTAGTAATAATATCAATATAAACCATTGTGTAGAATAATTATATTATTGTAAGTAGTACTTTTGTTAACTCTCAGCGTGTGTCATCGATTCAAAATTTGGAAGACAAGACAAAATAAAAGAAAAAATAAACAATTTGAGTCGATCGAGACCAAAACAGACTTCAACTTCAGTAGTGTATATTTGTAGTGTATATATATCAGTAGTGTAATTCACTAATTATTATTATTATTACTAATATTATTCAACTAAAGTTGTATGCACTCACGGTTATCACAATAAAACTACTAACTGGCCAGCTGCCGCTTACAACCCTCTAACCGTGTACAAATCATAAACACCAACAACAATGGACACACACACAAATCTAAAATAAACAGGAACGGTCAAGGTTTACACGAACAATATTACAGCATAGGATGTACGTACAAAAATACACTGGAAATAAAAACTTTAGTTTGACAATCAACGAAACTAGTGGAACATCACCACATAAGGGTGATTATGTTATTAATGTATTTTGCCCTGTGGCCAAAATACAAAAATTGTTTAACGTACAAGGTGCAATATCGCTTATGGAAAAAAAAAACTCAAAATATAATATTTTAGCTTTAAATAATAACTTGAAAACACACCATAAAATAAAATCTTGTGTGTTGTGACTTGCCCATTAATACTGATTGTTATCAGCAAATCTGTGATAACAGTCCCCAGACGGCTGTAGCAGTGGTAACCACTGCGGTATCAGTGGTAACCACTGCGGCATTAGTTTAAATTTTACAAGTTACGAAAAGTTTACTTAAAATCGAGGATGACACGATTGACGTTTATGTGAGTTCAACTTTCAAGTCACGACTTCTACTAAAAAGGTACTTTTGCACATAGTTATTAAACATAGGTGAGTTGTATAAAATTGCATAGGTACCTACCGCAAAGATTGCTCTGAGGTATGTTTTGGAACAGATATACACATGACGTGTAATAAGAATCAGCTGCCATAAAAAAAAAAAAGAGTCGTCCAGAAGCCTGGTAATTACACAAAATACAATTTCTTACTACTATATGTTGTTTACTTTCTTTCGCTCATAACATTTAACCACAGACTACCTATATGAAAATCGTATAGTTATATAGTCTGTGATTTGACCTTTTCAAAAAAAAAAAAAATTACCTTTAATCTAGCTTCTAATATAGGTAATGATTTGGGAAATCAACAAAAATGTTCAATTTAATATTTGAAGTTTGAATTCTGATTTCAGTGTTAATGATAATAATTATTCATAAAATACCTATACCAATTACAAAAAAATCAAAGAACTTAAATCACAACAGAATCAGAAGGTTACCTTGTTGTTTTGTTATAATATTAAACTAAAATTAGTCTATAATATTGTTGTATATTCCTACACTCGAATTAAAGTCGATTTTATTCTGTTGAATTTTAAATAAACGTTTATACCATTTTTGATATGGTACATAATATTTTTTAATATTTACTTAACGTTGAAAATACAAATATTGAAGTCTCCAGTACAAAATGGAATGAATAGAAAAAACCAAACTGTTGATTACTTTTTATAGAGGGATATGGAAGACAAATTTGAAAACCCACATCAAGGTAAACACATACTAATGTTATACTAAATATACTCAGTGGCGTATTTACAACTGTTTTTGGTGGAGGAAATAGCCAAAAAAAAAAAAAAATGAGTAAAACAGTGAACTAAAAAGTACCTAACTAATATATAAGTTAACCAATAAATTGTAGCACATTTTATTTAAAATGTCAATTACTTTGAAAACAACCAACAATTTTAAATAATGTTAAACATCTTTAATTTTCGACTAAAAAGAAAAGCGTGGGCCCTATATTCATCAAAGTCCCTCATAAATGTATCAAAAAATGTTTTATACTGTAAGTTTTTTTGTTATTTAAATTTGGTTTAATATTATTGCGTGACACATACATTTCAATACATTTCATAATACTTAACTCAATGAATTTGGACTTTAATTTTTATCAACTGAAAACGCTAGAAAGTAATTTTTTTCAAATCGATATTCAGACGTTGGATCTATGCATATATGTATACATGTACCAAAAATTAAAATATATTACCAAACAAAATGTGTAAATGTGAAAAATGTTCCCGTTATTGATAGATATGTTTCGTACAGAGTCCTACCTAATTTATAACAATATACTTGCTTGTAATTCAAACGAGTAGGTACACTTATTATTTCATCAATTTTTAGTATTTAAATTGAAATATAATATATTGTACCTACTGATATTATTACAAGATATTGTATGTTTTTACTTAAACGATTCAATATGAGATAATGCATTGTTTTATTAAAGCAATATTAATTGGGATATTAAACAAATTTTATGATCTCTGATAATAGTAGTTTGGTAATAATTGTGGTTTATCAATTTGTATTACATTTATACAACATTAATGAATAATAGTTAAATACGTATAGAATATTAAAGTGCATATAATAATGTAGAATAGATAGTGTAAGATAGCATTACTAGTTTATAGGGGGAAAAGATGCGAATAATTCGTCATTTGTAACAGTATCGTGTATTAGAAATGAATCTATAGTCGAAAACGTTCCATTTTGATTGACTCTTTTTTTGAATTCCTCGTAACTCGGGTGACTGAAACACGTGTGATAAAAATGTTTAGTTATATTTTCTTTAATATTCTAATAGTTTTTTTTTCACCGTCATAAATTAAATATACTCAGTCATACGTGTGTTTTACAAAGCAATAATGAATATTATTGTTAGTTTCTAATAATTTAATGTTGTCATTCTGTTTTTGTAGTTATACTCGTAAACGATCGAAAGCACTTATAAACGCTATAAAGGCTGCAAAATGTGTACAGGGCGTCCCACAAATATTTGACAAATAAAATAACTAAAAGATTTTCTTTTTTTTAAATCAATTTATACTCATTAGCGCTGTAAACATCACACATTGTATTGTATTTAACTTACACTGTTTTTATTTTATTTTTTGGTTACTTTTATTTTTTTTTTAGTTTTAAATTGCCATTTTATATAGAATAATTTGCTGAAAATATTTTCCAAAACTGTTTTTCGACCATTCTAAATTCTCGGCAAATGGTTTCAAACGGGTAAAATGCAATAAAATTGCCATCTTAAATTAAAAAAAAAATAATAATAATAATAGTTTAAATTAGTTGTCAGTTAGTAAGCGTCATAAAAAAAAACGTGGGTTTTACAGCGCAAATAAAACTAAATTAATTTTAAAAAAAAAATCTTAAAAATACTCACTAGCTCAAATGTTATTTAATTTGTTAAACCGTTGTGGGTAATCCTATTTAAACAATGGTTTTTTGTTTTTTTAATATCCTTTATTTTTAAAAAATATTTGGCTCAACAATTAGACAGTGATAATAAGTAAATTGTAAATGTACGGTTATATTTCAACAAAGTAAGTAGCAATAAAAAAAGAGAATAATTTATACTTAGGTACTACCAATGATCTCTGTTGCGTACAATGTTATACACTAGTATTGCCTATTTTAATGGACTATTAAAAAAAAAAAGTACTTACTCAGTTGACATTTTTTTAACCAGTACGCCCTCTACAAGCAACAAGAAAATATTATATGTCGACTATAATGTTTGTAATTAACTATATCGATTGTATACTACTAATATGAATAATACACCGATGTTATAAAAGTTAATATATTTTTTTACATATTATGTATTGGGTGCAGTAAGTTGGACGTTTTACCAAATTAATATTCAAGCTACACAGATTGTCACTCGTTGTTAAATTGTTTACATTGTTGTTAAATTCAAAAATCCAATAAGTTTATCACATTTGGGTGGTCAACTTATCGTGAACCACTCAATATCTTACTGGGTTTAATTAATAATTGAATGGTTTTTTCCACAATGTTTTTATACAAGGTGATCTCATATTCTCACATTTTTACTTAGTTTTTTCGATAGCAACGTTTGAAACTTGAATGGTGACATTTCGTTAAATTGTTAATTGAAAATAATGTACTAAACACAGGTTGACTGGTCGATAACCAGTTTTGGATAATCAGTTTTTTTAAAGTTATAAGAATTCAAAAAGTTAGGACGGGGAAGTGCGGTTGGGAAATAATACTACACTCCACCTTTCCTCCTGTCCTGCACTTGAAACTTCATTAACTTCAAAAATAGTTATCCAAAACAGGTTATCGATCAAGCCACATTTTCGGTACATTATTCTCTATTTAAAAAGTCAATGAAACGTATGCGTTACCATTTGAGTTTAAAAAAAACTAAGTTAATAGAGGAGGGGTAAAAACAAAAAAAAACAAAAATAGTGAACATTTGAGATCACATTGCAAAAAAAAAAAACACTACCTATGTATAGAAAAAATGTAATTTCTTATTAAACCCAATGAGATGTTGAGTGGTTCACGATACATGTCGATCACCTTGTATAGTATGTATCCGAAAGGATAAAATATAAAGTCTTGTAAAATATGAAAAGAAAAAAACATACCACCAAGCCACGTATTATCTCCTGTCAAAAAAAAAAACCAATAAGCTGTTAATACAACAACTATGTATTTACAAAATTAAATACAAAGCTTGTTTATTAATATTAAGATAACAATTATTGTATACCATCATACAGCACACAGTTCGGCCGTACTAGAAAAAAAAAATAATAATAACAAAATAAGTTTAACGTCAGTGTATAATACAATTTGAACTGCAATTATTATTTAGCAACAATTTTTTCAAAAACTCAATTTCGAAAATATTCCATTTAAGATGTAGTTTAGTTTTTGTAAAAATAGTATACATCATATAAAAAAAAGCAGTTGTATAACCTAATATTATACATTAAAAAAAAGCAGTTCTATAATCTATATAATTTTTTAAATATATTTTTAGTTGCGTTATACGCAATAGTTAATTTGTTGTAAAATATTTACGATCAGATGTGAAAAAAACAGCAATGTCCCATTTCTCTAAATTAACGTGACTCTGTTCACAATCACTGGTACCTGCAAAATGAATCGCATAACACGTCATCGGTTTAAACGAAAGTCTTACCCCTTAAGTCGATACATACATGTGTAGTACATGTTAACTCGTGTATTATAAAAAAATAAAAATTGTATAAATAATGCGTAGTACCATAAAATGCCGATAGCAGTACACTTGAAACGAAAATTACTTGCACGGATATCATCATAATATAATATATCTGATTTGTACACAGAAGACTTGAGTGTTCAATGCCCAAACGATAAAAGGTCTATGGCGACTTGGACTAATGTCGATAACATTAGTTAAGTAGAAACGTCTAACTTATGTACATAAAAAAAACTTACAAAAAAAAAAACCCCGTGTCTCAAAACCGATGACTCGAGTTTGTTTGGGTGTTTATAATGTTTGTTCTTAAATCGTATTGAACACTGCTAAATTATTAAAAAAAAAAAATCAATTTATTTTTTAATTTAAATATGGTACGCTATTACATTTAAAAAAAACGGCGTTAGAGCCGCATGAGTTTACAATTTAAATGTAACACAGCTAACATTTAAAAACAGCTGTATAATTACTATTTGTACAAGTGTGTTTACATTTTTTTTTGTGCGTTTACTTCTACATAAGATTTATGACATACGCCGAGTGTAGATAATATATGACATTACACTATTTCATTAAACAAATTAAAATTAAAATTTTCAAAATTTCTACATGTAGTTTTCTGAAAAGTTCGACTGGTCAATTAAAACTTTTATTACTTAAAACATTACTGGAAATTTGGTTAACGTGCAAAAAAAAAAAATCATACTCCACCTCCTTCGTTAAAATGTTTTAAACTTAGTAATTTGATTGGTTATTTTTTTTTTTAAACAATTATCGATCAGTTAAAATGATTGGTGAATTACTTTTGATTAAAGACTTATGTATAATATATATATATATGCTGCAACTGATGTTCACATCGAATAGAATATAGATCAGAATAATTGAAAAAAAAAAAACATAATTTTGTAGTCTTTTTTTTTCTCCAGGCAATTTATGGTCTCGTAGCCAAAGTTGTCGTCGTTTTTTCTTAATTAGTTTTAAATTACAATAATTTGCAAAGTGATTTTTTCCTTGGATTTATTAACTTACACATTGAATTATACAGCATTTCAACCATTTTTTTTTTTTTAAACAAGTTAATAAATTAGCGAAAAAAAAAAAGATTCAAATAGTTTTATTTATGTTGTTATTTACTGTTGTTATTAAGAAATATTTAATAAATTCTCAGAAAGTTAAATAAACGTTGTTTCATAAACCATGGCTAGGGTCAAAGTTAGGATAAATTATTGAAACATTAAAAAAAAAAAAGTGCTACTATTCATTGGTAAATTGTTCTTGTAGTAAAATTGGTTTTTTATTTTTAGTTTTTTAAGAAAAGCACGTCTTTAAAAAAACCATTTTTTTAATTTATTTATTTTATTTTAAACTTTTTATTCCTATTGAAGGTACATAATAATTAGTGAATAAATTACTAAAAAAGCATAACGATCAATACATATTGAACGATGCCATTACACTATTATTGGATCATAATAATATAATAATAATTATACTACAAGTATTTTCTAATAACAACGCTTAAACGCAGTATTTTTAGTATAGGCATGTTTAAATGGCGTTTCTACGTTTAGATATCTGTTTTTTACAGTTTATAATATATATATGCCAATATAACTTAAAACTTGTATAGTCTATACTCCTTCGGTTAGCCCAATCAAAAATATGGTATATTTTTACTCGACTCTTCGATTGAATAATAAATTAATTCACAGATAATAATTAATTACCTACATTAATGCTTAAATGGAGACACTTATTTGACACTAAGTCTTATTGTTTATAATAATAATGCATTTACAAAATTGTGTAAATTGATTTTTTTGTTCTTAATAAAAAAAAGTGTGACTAGAGATTTTTGAAATTTAAATAAAATCGTTATGTATGTAAAAGAAAAAAAAAACAAAAACTCACAGTATATATTATGTAGGTAGTAAGTACCTGAAATAACATTTTTTTTTATTTGAAAATATTCTACTGAAAATGTTGATTCGCCAATTAACCTGATTCACTCCGAATCAAAGCTGAAAAATACTTCAAATATTTCACGGTTACATTTTTTATTGTTTTTTTTTTTTTTTGCGGACTGGTATTATTTTAACAAAAAGCCTTGGCCCAGCGGACCTAACACCTCTGAATTAACACAGAACAATAAAATCACAGGTTGATAAATCATTTGTCAAATCAAACGTTAAGGCAAAAACCCGCCTCTCCTTGCTCTAAAATTATGTAGATCATCCTCATAAAAAAATATCTAAAAAATACAAACCGAGCTTCTTCAATTTAACAATTGGTAAAAAAAAATGTGAAGCCCTTTTCTTATAAATAAATTACCCACACAAAACTATAAAACACGTGTACTTAAGATATATAATATAAAGTATCATTTATAAGCATAACAAATGTATGTATTTAAACGTTTTTTTGTGTTCATTATATTTAGAATATTACCATATAATCTCCTATAAGTGGTAAAGTAGAATGTCCTAAAATTTTAGAGACTATCAATGAATGTTCAACCATTTGTTTTTCGTTCAGCAAATGTGTTTTATTCACCAACCCTCCCTTAAAATTATGGACTTACCACTCAATCAATTATTGATAACATAATACATAAATCAATAACATTTAAAATCGTATTACATTTTTTCACTATGTACAATTATTAATTAATAAATAACCAAAGCATTAACTATTTATGTCACATACATTATAGCAACTTAGAAAGTAATATAAGTAAATTTAAAACTGTTTTGTTTTTGGTATTGTGTTTAAGATAGATAAATCAAACAAATACACCACTACTCTTGATGGAATTTTGAACCATTTGGGGATCCCATAATTGAATTAAATTTTAATTGAAAAATCTTCCCAATGAGGCAACGCAAATGTTAAAACAGAAAAAAAAAATATTATATTAGGTATCTTTATGTACACATTTTGCAATATGTAAGAAACTGAAAAAAAAACCATAAAACGCATACAAAATCTTAAAAAATATAACGTTTAAATGCAATATTAGTGTCCAGTTATTTTGAAGCTATACTCGAATATTTATTTTTTTTAATTTTTACAAACAGTTATATGTATTATGTATACAGTATAAAATGTTTTGGCTACATTTAGGTACATTTCAATTTATTTCGATACCTTTAAAATAAACATTCTTTATGCAATATAATAAATTAAACAAAATGTATACATAAACAAAATAAAATTTTATATTTTATATTATGCAAGTGTAAAATGTTAAATGTTCAGTAATCTTGTTTTTTTGTGACTAAATTTTGTTAGTTGTTATTTTATTTTTTTAATTTCTAATCCGGTTAAAAAAAGTTATAAATGTTTTTCTACTTAAAAAATTTTTAATTTTTTTTTAAACGTTCTTTTTGTTACATCATAAACCGTGGACGTAGTATCGGAACATTTTAAACTTTTATTTCATATCGTTGTGAAATAACGCATAAAACATTTTAAAACCCTACTTATACTTTTTAATAATATATTAACAATAATATAATATACCTTGTAGTAATCAGTGTGTATTAATATGAATAATAATACCGTGCATCAGGAAATCACAGCTTACTTTTTTATTATATACTAGAGCTTCGCTCTACAAGTTAGACGGTTAATAAATATCAAGTAGTCCGGTGTTGCTTACTTGGGTTGCTACCACTTTTACCAATTTTTATGAACTACCAATGTCCAGTTCCTTATCAGCGGCCGGAATTCGTATTGAAAACTGACAAGGACGGCAGGTCTCCGAGTGTTTTGGCATTCGCTCGCTTGGCGCCGTCGCTTCGCTCCGCCAACTAAAAATATCCTAGGTTTGTAGCCTACACAGTCTATGAGGAGGTAACAGGTTTAAAATTGAGTTTAAATTAAAATTTTAAAAAGTCAAAGAGGCTTGATAAGAAGCTGGCCATTGGGAAAAAGTGTACAATGGAAATTGTCTTTGGTAAAAGTCGTTATATTATAGACCACGTCATCAATATAGGCCGGTGTCATCCCGCTTAATTTTATGAGTTGAAAACAGATAAAAATGTCTAGAGGACAGTCAGCTAAATGTCCGTTAAGGTTTACTCTGTTAGGTTAGGCTACTTTGTGAAACAAAATTTGTTTAAACGTAGTATGTTATATTATGTCTGTACACAGCAGTTCCGAGGGGGGTGCCCGGCCACGGTGTCGAGTCAGCTAAGCTACGTTTTTAAGTATACCGTTATAATTCATCGTACCTTTATCTAGTAATCATAGTTCATACTTAGTTTCGAAAAAGTGTTTTGCAAGCTAAGTACCGGTTAACTGTAGTGCAAGTCTAGCTATCTGTCAGATCAGAAACGTCCTACTACTAAAGCGAGTGTGCTACTTGCTTAAAGGACAATTTTTTTTTTTTTTTTAATTTGAATTGTTTGAGGTGTCGTTTACTTCACGGGCTTGGTAATAGCTATGGTTAAAAATAGAAAGAAATGTTTAGAGGTCAGTCTGTATACGTCTGATATGGTGTTCCTATGTGCAACAAAACTTTTTCAAACGTATACGTTATATGTCTAGATATTGGTTGAATTAAAATCCTTATTTGTTCAGAAATCACCGTCTATGCCATTATTCGGTAATGACGTACTGTACGTTTAGAATGTAACCAACAGCACAATGCATTGAATATGTATATTAAAGGTCTGGTGGTTTAACAGAAGTTCATAAGTGTTTAAGAATTCAAGAGTAAATCACATGAATGAAATGTCTAGAGTTTATATTAAAACTTAAAAGGGAAAGAAGTGAAGAGTGATAAATACATTATTTTGATTTTTGACAGAGCTATTTGGCAGAGCTCATAAAAACGTCCAAAGAGAGGTTAAATGAAATGTCTCGATGCAAATCTTTTAGTTTTTGGATCTGGACCTTTAATGCTAAAGGTACTTTGTTGATACTTAAGGTCTGACGTTTGTTGGTTATTAGAAGTTTAAAAGTGTGGAAGAATGATATGTTTGTGTGACGGTTACTTGGGAACTCAAGAGTACAAAACACGAATGAAATGTCTGAAATAATTTGTAGCAAATATTTTTGATTATTCGAGTGTCCGGCGGTGATTATAAAAACGGTCAGAGTACAAAATGATAATAATAATAATAATAATAATATTCAGTGCATAAAATACCTAAATTATTTGATACTTGTCCAGACATATTTTATACATAATAGATAAATTGATATATACATTAATACTTTTTTAAGTAAACCATGAAAGGTATAAATCCATATGTTGATATATTTTTAGATGGCTAACCAACAATTCATCCTACTAAATGATAATAATCAAACATTTTTAAAATAATTTTATTTTTCATTATGTAGTATCAATTTAAAAAAAATATAGCAAAATCTATAGATTTACTATACTTTTTTAGGGTGGAGCGAATACTTATATTATACTTCTATAAATAATAAAATAGTAAATTAAATGTCGATTTTCAATATAAATTTTAACCCTTTGAAGCACAGCATTTTTATCTCCGATTTTCTCTGAACATGATTATGAAGGTGGTAATAAATATATACCACTGCGCGAGAGTAGGCTATTTTTTGAAAAAGTGGTATATTACTTATACCACCATGCTTCAAAATGTTAAAATGCAATAAAATGATTTGAAATTAATATTTTATTTTTATGTTTTAATTATGCCCTATGTCTGAAATCACACCACAAAAAAAAAACCAAAATAGTCAATATTAATAAGTATCTAATTTAGTTCAAGCTATATCAACAGCAGCTCAAAAAAAAAAATATATATATATATACATACATATAATATAAAAAATTAACATTAAATAGTTAGTAAAAATAAATGTTCAGACAATTTTTTTGATTTTTCATTACTACTCACAAAAACGGTCTAAGAACACAAAATGTTGAACGCTACAATAATCTAAAGACAACTGTTTTAAGAATTTAAAAAGATGATATAGGGACTTTTGCCGATGCTTTTAAAAAACATACCTATAATTTTTTTACAATAAGACTGTGTAAAAATGCATTTATTCGTTGGTTAAATAAGTATTATAAAGCCAGGGAGTAAAAACTGGAATGATTACAATAGCATAAGATGTTGCTATGTATAATGTGATTAAAATAAATTAGATCATGTAATATAGTTATTTCTTGTTAGAGCGGAATGAACACATAGATATTTTATGTCAATAATGTATATAAATTTTAAGCACACAAAAGTAGCCCCAGGTGTATAAAAACTAAAAATCGATTGTTTTTAGATCTGAACAATTTTTATTCAGTGCATCAAATATACTATTATTATTATTTAAAAAAATATTTTTCATTATATATATATATATATATTATTATTATTTTAACAACAATAAACTTTTTTTTAATTAATCCATGTATTATGTTATTTTTAGATAGGTAAATAAATGTTTTTCTACTAAATAATTTACAATAATACTTCCTAAAAAAAAAATTATCTGGAAAGTGAAATCAGATACATGATTTAAAAAAATAAAGTTATATGTTTGTCAATTTCAAAGAATACAAACTATATTTTCAACTTTAATGACAATTATTAGATTTTTCTTAGCTTGAATTGTTGAATTTCCACATAGCTTACCTACAATGTATGAATTTTCCAAAGTTAAAATATTAAAACCACAAATTAAGTAAAAAAACAATTTTAAAAACCCCAAACGGTTAGTGATAGTACTCGATAGTGATCATACATATTTATATAGGTAAATCATGCTACTAAATGAAATAATTAAAATATATTCAAATAATGCCAATTTAACGTGAAATAATATATATCATTAAAAAAGAATATATAAAAAAAACTAAAAAATTTTTTATTCTATGTAGTGATCATAATTGTACAGCTTTAACAAAAAAATTTGAAATAATTAATGTCTTAATTATTTGTACATCAGTATCGTATGTGTGTGCACGTTAAGAAACTAAAGCGTTAAGAGAAGTCGGTTAAGACACTGTATAATGAAAAAAAAACTGTCAATTTAAATTAGGGTTGAGTATAGAGATTAGATAGGCACTAATTATTAAAAAATACTTCATAAATAACAAAAAATCAACTTCTACGGCGTAAGTTTTCTGTTGGCCGCAGGCAAATTAATCGGTGACGGCATAGGATAACAGTCTGTAACCGATGGTAACAATAATAACTACTTATTGTATTAATTAAAGACAGAGTAGATAGAAGTAGCAATCAATCTTCTAAACGGACACGCGTCGGTTATGATTTCACTATAGTATTGGCCTAAAACAAATAATTTACATATATATATATATATATAATAAGTCAGTAAGTTATTTAATTGAAAATAAATAGTAGATATATATGTCAACAAATTTTTCAACAAAAAATATGAAATGTATCGTTATCACCACGCACGGCGGTTTGAAAAAGATAAGAATTTTGTACATCTAATTAATTTGATAATTTGGTTTAAGCAAAATGTAATATACTACCATACTATATATTTTATTATATATATTCTAAATCTAAAAAACGTACCGACGCATATTAATAGGTAATGTTTGCACACCGTGAGCGAATTACGGACAAATATGTAATTAATAATAACTATTATACGTTTAATATGCAATTGTATGTATATAATTATAACAAACTACAAAGACAAAAATTCACCGAAAAAAACAAAACACGCCGTTCGCCGTTTTTAATTTTTATTATTATATATATATGATAACGTTTGACACACCGGGAAACACTGTTGAATAAAAAACCACGTATGACAATGAACAACAGTGTAATTAATAATAATAATAATAATAATTTTACGTTTAATTTAATTTAAGGAAAGTACAAACTCGCCAAAAAAAACAACACACGCCGTCACCGTTATTATTTGATACGATAACGTTGTGACATGATAAAAACGCGCGCCAACGCCACGCGCTGCCCAAGCCGCCTCAGATTCTTTTCTATGAGCGAGATGTATTATATGAATCCCATGGAAGAGACGATTAGGCAAGTGGCGGTAGTCGGCTATTTGAATTGACATTTTATTATATAGATAATAATAAAAATAGAAATAATTAATCGGATAAAAAAATCCAATTTATACACATGGCCTATGGGATATAACATAAGCTTGATGGGTGGAAAATATACACATTTGCCAATTAGCTAAAAATGTACTTTTTTTAATTTTTACACCGGTATTTATCTAATTCTAACCCTCTGCTTCTGAGTTTTTAATAATTAGTTCTAAGTCGATAAAAAGTAAAAACCTTTATCAAATACTTTTTAGTTGTACATATAAATATATACATGGATCGTTCATTCCGACACTCATGAAAATGCACACAAATTAAACAATGTTTAATAACTTTATTTGTTTTATATTTAAAATATATTTGTAATTTAATTGATTAATACATGAAAGCGAGTTACAATATTATTCAATTAATATCGTTGCAATATAAATATTTTTTTTTACCTATGTGTTATATTAATAAATAAGTATCAATAATATAAAAATATATAATTATTTATAATAATAGAGTAAAAGTATTTAGAAACATAACAATTATCAATAATAGCATGAGTTAACAATAAATCCTGTGAGTAAATTGAAATGTTTACAATGAACATAGTAACAGTGTTTACTATACAATAGGAGTTTTAATAAAAATAAATTATTTTCTACAAAGTTACTCTGTTTTTATTTTTATTGACATACAATTTGGAAATTACATTTTTTGCTATTACTCCGTTAGAATACGTGGTGTCGGCCGCACAGCATACACAATATAATCGTACGTTTTACATAAATATTGTACATGTTGGTATCGCTTCGGGTGGCTGTTGGTCGAGTGGCTCCCTGTCGATTTTCGGTGGCTGTTTGTCGAGTGGCTCCTTGTCGAGCGGCTCCGTGTCGTGCTCCCATTTTAACCCCCTTGGGGTGGAATTTTCACCCTCTTGTGGATAAATAATGCATTGTCATCGAATCGCGAGCTAACCTAAAAGTTTCAGCCGGATAGCTAATCGGGAAGTGCTCGAAATTTGAGTTGCAACATTCCACCCGGAACGACAAACAAGATTGTGAGTTCATAAAAACGTTGTAATTATAAAAAAAAAAGTAAAGTCCGACGACAAGAGCAAATTTTAATTTCCGAGTGATTTTATGTTTACGTGATAATGCCCGGTGCCGTGACAAAATGATCAACTTCTACTAGGTACATTGGCACGAGCGGTACTGTCAATATTTGCAAAATGGATGCCGCCGGTGTTGCGCCCGTGCGAATTGCACGGCCGCCGGAAACACCAGCCGCCATTTTACCGTGACCACAACACTCTGACGACGTACCTTATACTTTTGTCGTGGAATAACCACCGATGCTGCTTAACCACTATGCGGATACCGCGAACGTGGTCAATGTCAATGAAGAATAATGACGCCAATTTACGCTTCCAAACGATAACGACTAGTCGTGTGATAGTATATTATTATAACATATTATAATAATATAATATCGTTATACAAATATCTTTAGTCGCGCTTTTAAAACGTCTCACAACAATGGAAACGCAACACGGAAAAAAACCGACTAAACGTAAATGTGTCAAAACCATCACCCGACGACAACTGATCGAAAATATTACGCAACAAGATTTTCCGGTAGAAATAATCCTTCGGGCGCATCGTCGAAACGACAAGACCGAGAACAACCAATGTCTTGGAGCGACGACGAAGACGATGCCTCGTCGTCGTGTGACGATTACGACGGCGAATCATCTTGGAAAGACAGCGACAATGAAAGTAGTGTTTCAGTGTCTTCTGACGATTCGAATGTGAGTAGTGCGGCCAGTTTGAAAATAGAAATAAAACAGAAGGCGTGCGGACCACCGCCGGCAAAAAGGCCTACAGCTACTGAAAATCCTGGTGACAACAACACTAGCAGCAAACTGCAATTGCCATCGTCCGAACAACAACCGAACATTGTAGTATCGCAAGTGGTCAAAAACGTGTTGACCGGTCAAACAGCAGCGAATTCCATCGAGAATAATTGTTCGTATACTATTTTGGTAAGTACTACATTTTGGTAACCAAACATCAATATTCTTGCTGTATGTAAAATCAAATAGTTATGGGCCATGTGATCGAAATCACCTAATGGGTGTGCGACTACACTTCAAAAAAATGTCAAACATTTTTACCATACATCCTTTACAGGTCCTTAATAACAAAAAAAAATTTATTTTTATGGACCTTGGTAGGTAAATTTTTAAAAAAAAATTATCCAAAAACACCTCATGTTCCCGACACTGTAATTTTTGACCGCCGATAGTGGTATAGATAATGAAACCTGCAAAATTCTAATTAAGTGTACTTTAACCATATATTTTAAGAAAACAAATGTTTTGGAGTCAAAAAGTTTAAAATTAAAAACAAATATTTTGTCTATATAAAATTCAAGCTATGTTCTTATGACCCATATCATCTTTGAACCAATTGAGTTTTTTTTTTTTTTTGCTATTAATTTACGGAAGCCGTAAACATGGGTATTTTGCTGAAAACTACCTACTTTAATGACCCACAACACAAATGTGACTGAACGAAAATTGTTCTAAATTCATGCAATACTTACTCATAAGTGAATTGAACATCTGGTAAAAGTTTGGTGATGGAGAAATTATTCTAACATCAGTGTTCAAAATGTAAATGTAAATTGTGAATATTTCCAATAAGTGTAAATCGTAAAATTTGAACGCTTTTCTTACCACTGATGTTGGAATAATTTCTCTATCAGCAAACTTTTACCAGATGTTCTATTTACTTATATGTAAGCATTGCATAAATTTGGAAAATTTTCGTTCTGTCACATATTTTGTGCTGTGGGCCATTAAAGTAGGCCGTTTTCGGCTTACACTAATCGGTTCAAAGATGATATGGGCCATAAGAAACATAGCTTGAATTTTATATAAACAAAATATTTGTTTTGAATTTTTAACTTTTTGACTGCAAAAAAAGTTTTTGAAATATTGAAAAATTAAAAAAATGTTAAGGTTCAAAAAAAAAAAATGTACATTTTCTTAAAATGTGGTTAAAGTACACTTGATTAGAATTTTAACTGTGCAGGTTTCACAAGTCTATACCGCTGTCGGCGGCGGTCAAATTACAGAGTCGGGAACACGAGGTGTTTTTTGGGTGATTTTTTTTTTTAAAATTGACCTAGTCGCACGCCCATCAGACGTGGTTTCACGTGGAACGCGACCCTTATCCGTGTACCGTGCGCATTTTTACAGTCTCGTGACGAACATCCGACAGAAATGAACGCCAGTCAGTTCGAAGATTTGGTCATGGAAAAAGTGGTCGACGTATTTATGGAACGCAGTGATTGGTGTCAGCAATATCAAGAGGCCAGACGTATAACTGACGTGCAAAGCTTTTGGAAACAGAAATTCTCGGCGCTCGAAAAGCGGACGACTTTGCTTCGAAAGCGAATGGCCAAGTTGCAAATCAAAGCTTGCTCCACCGAGGTGACCGTGAGAAACGTTGGCACACAGCTAGAATGGCCGTATCTCGATGACAACAAAGCAATTAATACAACAACAACAACAACCCACAGCCGACAACATCACATCTGACACTAGTTCACGGCCGCCCGCCTAAGCAGTCCATCCATAAACTATACCCAACTATATAGTAAGACTTTTACCTAGGGATTCGAACAGTATTAAATAATTTTTTTAAATATAACTATATTCAGTACATTCAGAGTCGTTTGCAAATGTAATCTACCGCGTAGAAAAACATTTAAGTATTATCAATAATTTTTACGAACATACATTATGTCAGAGTTAATCAACAAGAAAAGGGCATTTGGTATTTATATTTTGCGAACAAAGTTTCATTATCAATATTTGATAACCGGTTTTTACTTGAATACGAAAATAAACGTAGGGATAATGATTAAATATGATGATTTGGTGAATGTTTAAGTTTAGTAAACATTATTCATTAGTTCCTATTATTGCCATTTATAATTTAGGTTTTTTTTTTATACCTACAGTAGCGTTTAAGCATTTTTTTTTTTTTTTATGTAATAATTGATTTTATGCTCAAGATCAAAAACACGATGAGCGCAAACATTGTGTAGTTCTATTTGTAATACATTACAAATAAATTACAACACCTTAATCAATGCCTTGTCAACAAAATTATTTCGTTACGAAAATTTAATTAGACTCGTTTGTATGTTTATATAATATCAACTAGAAAATAGTTTTTGTTTTACTTTGTGTGTAATGATAAAATATACGTCTTATTTCTCTCGAACCATATTGTTTTAAATAATTAGAGTTGTATAATATGAAGTGTTCGGGTATTAATTTAAAATCGCACTTGCTATTAGTGAATGATAAATGTCTTTGGAGGAATTTCAGTTATTTTATTGTGTTCATTATATTTTGTGTACATTGTTCTCTCTGCAAATGTAGTAATTACTAATTTTTGAATAAATATATCACAATGTAAAGGTAAAATTTCGTTTCGTTTTTTTTTTTTAATGAAAACCTTTGTCATATTTTATCGTTAGCATCCGATATTGTGTTTATATTATTATTATCATGTTCAGCGCTTTATAAATCAAAATCTCTTCGGCACGTTTACAACATAATATCCCATAGGGAATTCATAAATTTGATCAAACAGCGATTTCGACCAGTAGATAGGTATTATAATAAACTCGGACTTCTTGGTGGTAGGTAGGTGGTAGCTGTGTTTAAAGTTAATTTTCTACTTAGGCCAAAGAAAATGCTTGCGGAAAGTTACATTTATAGTTTTTAACAGAAGCGAATATGGACAAAAAAAATCATAGGGGTCAAGCCGACATATTTATAATTTGCCCCTCCCCCCCCCCTCTATAACAGCCAGGGCCGTATTAAGCTATGCAGGTTAGGTTGGGTTAAAATTAATATTCTTTTGATATATTTTTTTTTAAATCTTATTCTTATTGTACTTAGAAACTTTTTAAGTCGATGTTAAAATTCGAAAATCTAATTTTTTAAGGACCCCTTAATAATATACCTACCCGTTTATCGACAAAAACAAAGTCTTAATTTTTCAGCATTTTGAGTTGTAAAATCAAAAATTCTACCCCTTATTTTTTTTTTTTATTAGCCTTTATTGGGCAATATGATGGCTCGACAATTATTACGAACTTATTTCATACTGTGAGTTTGTATAAATACTTATTATATACTTATTTATACAAACTCACAGTGTCAAATGTCAAACTTTTCCATAATAAATTGTAACAAAATTATGTTTATTATCCTACTTGTTATATAGGTACACACGAAGCTAAGTTTAATTATAATGTGTATGGTTTCAGAAGTATACACTTGCACGTATTACTTATTAGTTATTACATAAACGCATAGATAAATAAAAAATGTCTAAAAAAACTCTACTGCCTATATATATATATATATATACTTTCTTGATGGGTACTTAACAATTTGTATAGTTGTGTGTGATAATTATAAAATCTTAAGTATATGAAATAGGGTATCAGAAATGAAGACGGTATAAAATTATTTTAAATAGACTTTATCAGGAATGGAATTCCTATTGGCCACAGAGGCCTCTTAAAAATCTAAAGGTGTAGTAAAAATAAGTAGAAAAATAATGTGCACGTGAGTTGTTTGTATTGTAAAAAAAAAAAACACATGTTTTTATTGTGCTAAACGCAAAAAAATATTAAGGTTACTCGTGTAAAAATATTTTGGTTTGAAAAAAACAACAGATATTATATTGCTCATACGTTTTATAAAAGCCATAACAAATATGGCAAAGTGGTGTTCTATTCTAGTAGCGTTGTTTGTTTTTGGTACATAGAAATAGAAATTTTTCTTTTTCATAAATAATGGGTTTGATAATTAAAATTGAGATTTAACCTTAACATTTCAGGCCTGAAACTTTAAAACTTCACATATAAAAAAAAAACGAAATAAAGAAATAGTCACCACCACTTTTGGGGTAATGGGTTTAAGATATTTATTCAAGTTGCCAACGTTTAACGGATAATTTTTATCTTTAAAAATACACTACCTCATTGGCCTATTAAGATAAAAAAAAACAATTTTACAATAGTAAATTATGATTTACACAGAATAGGTATTGTTCTTTGAACTATGCTTATAACTAAGTATCTTTATTTGTAATAATTAAGAAAAATGTTGTATAGAACATTTTTTTTTAAAAAAATGCGTTAAAAATGCACCAGCGTTCAAATAATTAGGTATTTTATTTACCGTAAAAAAATAATAAATACCTATTAGATATATTTATACCTAATAATTTTAAGTATTTTAATATTAAGGCATTGTGTCTTTATGGATACATAAGAGTTTTTATAGTAAACTAAATACTTACTTTTAACTAGATATAAGAGATTAGCTTCACTTCAATATTACCGAAATAACTCCAGCAGCTTATAATGATGACTCAGACAGCTGAATTAAATTTATTTAAGTTTTAAACTGTAAATAAAATGTGTCGAAAATTAGTCCAAAAATTTAATGACAACTGATGTCTGATAACATGGCGCGAAAATCTGTAAAACGTTATCAATAACCATAATGATTACTCTAAAGAACAAAAAACTGTAAAACGTTATCAATAACCATAATGATTACTCTAAAGAACAAAAAAAAATAAAATAAAAGCGGTCAATAAAATTTTTAAATTTTTCCTGGAATATTTACTAAAATTTCACGGTTTTGTTATATTTTGCTCAGCATTAAAAAAATGAACTTTCCCAGAAACAACTGATGATTATGAGCATATATTTCATTTGAATATAATTCGGTTGTAAAAAAAAAAAACCACCCCTTTAACGTTTCATATTACTTGTTTTTAATTGTTGTAACAAATAATTATTACAATATTATAGACCTGTAGGATTGCAGCAAGAGAGAGAGAGAGAGAGCAGTAAAAAGTATTAGCCCTGGAAATTTTAAAATACGTACCCGTTAGCTGTAATAGTATAATACGACGTCGTATGTCTAAATGGTGTACTGTGTATGGAATTTTTGAATTTTCCCAATCTTGTTTAATACACAATAATCGATTTCGTTGACATACACAAACGCCCAAAGTTTAAGATAAATCGTTTATAGTGGTTTTTACAATAATAATATTAACATACTTAGACTTTTTATTACAATAATATATGGCTGTTTTTTTTTCTTACGGGGGGGTGGCATGTTTTTCGGTTATTTTATTTATTATACTTAATCGACTTAATTATAATACGGTACAGTAGTAGTATGCTTACAATATAGTTTACGCTTAACAATAGTAATATAATAATAATAATTTTGATATGCAGGAATGGCCGCAGTGGCTCGTCCGCTGAACACATAACACAAGAGGGAGAAACACGTAACGCTATTCAAAGTCTACGGAATTTGTAGACGACCAAAGATTCGCCGGGCACTCGTCGTGACATGACAACAGTGTGGCCCATCGAATACTCGTCACGCATGAGCTTGGCGATTTCTTCGGGTCGGTTGTAGTCGATCATCAACAAATAAAACACACCGTTGTCGGCCAAGACCCTGTCGATTTGTGGTAGCACTCTAAAAAAAAATCAAAAATCAATAAAATTCAACAATAACCGTAAATTGTTTTTCCATACTCTCTAATGACGTCGGCTCCGTCTTCCGGTCCGCCGCACCAAGCTCGACCGATGTAGTTTTCATCGTCGGGCCGCTCGTCGTCGTCGGCCATAGACCGTACGTACGGAGGGTTGAAGAGTATCACGTCGACACATCTGGATTTCCACATCCAGTTTAGTAAATCGGCGTTCACGGCGTCCACCTATTGCGTGGTAATATTTTTATTGATAATACAATTATTGTTTAAACAAAAAAACAACGATACGTTTTATTAAAACACTTTAACGAAGAAATCGGTCTAGAAGGTTAAGAAATAATAATTACTGCTAACGTATTGGAGTTGAAAAAGATAAGTATTTTACAAAAATAGAAAATCACAATTACATCGACATTGTTGAGGGAGCATGTCTCGAGTGTTGTCAGACACGCCGCCGGGTTTATATCGACGGCCACACAATGAACATTCGAACCCAGTGCTTTTTTCATTGCCGCCGTCAGCACGCCCGAACCGCTTCCCAATTCCAAAATCAAACCACCTCCGCCGCCGCCGCCGTCTTGGACGATAGTTTTGTTCAGTGCATCTAAATCCTTCTCTAGAGCGTCCAGCAATAAAAACGTGTCTTCCGACGGTTCGTACACATTGTCGCCTACCGACTTTGAGTTCCAATCCTACGTAAGCAGAATCAAGAAAAAAACATGTGTTTATATAAATTGCTGTATACCAACGCTAACAATTACTGTTGATACGATTTTGATATTGTTATTACTCACGGGCGTGTCCATTTGTTAAATTTTGACGATCAAATATTATTAATTCCGTTGATAAAAAAAAAATATGAAATTTTGTATTATGGAAAAGCTTAGTTAATTATTGCTTTGTAGCGTTTCCTCCTGCTGCTGCTGTTCACTATATTTCACGTCTTGGTCGTCGCCAATTTCAATTTCACTTATAATATCATCAATATTTGGTTCCCCGTCTTGTTGCGCCTTGTGTTGCTGCGGAATGTTTGGTTCCAATAGGGATCGCCGTTTATTTTGCTCGCGGTCAATTCTGGCCGACAAGTTTTTCAGACGTTCCTAACAAATATATTATAAAATATGTAAACGTTACTAAATTTACTCGACATTTGTCATTTGACATTTAAAAGCAAGAGATCATCAACTAAAACAATCAATGGCATTATTGTTCACAGTTGAAATGATCAAGATTATAAAATTTCAACAATCTAAAGCTTAAGTTAAAGAGTTTATGTGGAAACTGTTGGACTTCCTCTCAAAAAAAATAAAATATATTTGACAAAACAATAATATTGTATTTTTACTTGTGTGGCTTCGAGAATGTTGCCGACGACCGTAATTTTCAAACGCGTGTTGACAAGGCGAGTGCAATATTTATCCAAACTGCTCGGCAGAGTGTCCTTGTCGGCGGCGGTCGTAGTGGTTTCCGTAGAAGTAGCGGCCGCGATCGAAGCGTTGTAGTGTTGAACGAGCGACAGCTGTTTAAGTTCCGTGGCCAGCGATTCCAGTTGAATTTTCAAATCGAGCTGACTTAATCTGCGCCAAACACAATGACATGGGTATATTTTACAAAACGGTACCGCACAACAACGGCCGATCAGTGTTATACTGCCTACCTGGTACACTGGATGGCCGAATCCAAATTGTCGATGGCCGGTTTCAACAGTGACGTTATGCCGTCGGCTAACGTGTCTTGGGTGGCTATACAATTATAGTCTTCGTGTAATATCCTGTCGCCGGTTTGTGTTTCGTCCGCCGGCGGCGTAGCACTACAATTACTGTTGGTATCGTCGTCCAAATCGCGGTCGCGTCGATCCAGATCCATAACCCAGTTATAAATAAAATAATAATATTAACAACTGTATTATAACTCGCAATTATTTTATTAAAGTAATATACAACCGCCCGTCCGCCACACGGTATTCTTTGTTGTTGAACATTTTTTTTTTTTATTATCGTTGAAACTTATCAGTTATGATAACGATTTTGATAACAACTGCTGTTAACGGCCTAACCGCTGTCGGCGACCGGGTAACCGGAAACGCGGTAACCCCGGTTGGTATAGTGGGTGATAAGAGTCGATTAACAATTTGCACGTCATTATTATCATTGATATCTTACACTACTTGAAACATCAAGAAAATAAGGGGAAAAAACAGCTTAAAAACACCGTTAAAACCACCATTATCGCTGCAAATAACAATTACCAATTTAATAGAAACACCGGTGATCAAATAACATGTAGACGTCGGTTAGATTGTTTCTCAACAATCGCACCAGAACAGCTTAAAACTACAATTATTTATTTAAACATATGTATTTATTGTAATCGTCAACATGCAATACATTTTCATAGCGGGGACACACTGTTAATAACAAAACCGAGAAATTGAGATTCAAATACAAGTGTATAATAAATTTTTTCATTTAATTTTATTTAGTCGTCTTAAATATTATTATTTTTTAATTTTCGACAATTATTGCACTAACTGAACACACACAATCAAAAGAAGAAGCTATTGCCTACCACAAACAATAATAATTATGTATATATAATAATATAGCGTTAGAAAACAAAAATGCACGACACACGTTCAAAAAACTCGGATTTCACACAAGTGTACATTCAAAAAACAAATCACTCCTTTAAACGCCTAAAGATTTTTTTTTTTTTGCAAATAGGAAATTACAATAATAATAATTACTGGGTAATTATATAAATACAATTTGTAAAAAAAAAAAAAAAAAAATAATAAAACCTACACGTATAGTTACAGGTTATTTTACTTTTCGGTAATAATAATAATAGTTAATAATAATTAATAATAATAATAATAATAAAAAACAATTTATAACATGGCGATTGAATAGTTTCGTACTAAGCAGAGCTCAGTCTGATCTTTGTTTTGTCGTTAATTTTTGTTAAGTTTTTCCATTTTCAAAATTTGACTCGATGGAAATTTCGAATAGTACACAAAGATCGGAGAAGTCTTACAATTATTATTTTTTAACTGATCTAACGCGTTAAATTGTTTTTTTGTATGCATACTCTTAAACTATAACACATCACAAGACTAATTTAATATAATATTTATATAATGGAATATTATTTATTTTTAATTGAAACACAATTATATATACATACTATATACATATATGTATATTGTATATATATATATTTTTGTTTTTTTTTTTTAATTTAAATTTTAGTATATATCACATATACACATTTATATATATATATATATATATAATATTACGTACTTTGAAAACAAAAAATTACTTTTACATTTAATACACACAAACGAGAGACGAGATATGTAATGTTGGGTGTTAAACCGTATAAATAAATATATTTTTATACATAATATTATTATAAATGAATATTACACATCATGTTCACGAGCAGTATTTCACGTAGAAATAATTATTATTATTATTATTAAATAAAATAGTAACGGTAATTTGTATTAATAATAAATATAGATTCGCGACTATATAATATTATATATTGTTGTTGAATCCGCGTTAAAAAATACGAACATCGTCGTTCTTACATCATAATAATATTATTATAAATCAGCTAAATTATAGTATTATATTATATATTTTCATGGTAAATATTTTGGTAAAGGCCCAAGACTTGCCCAAGACAACGATTTGATTGAAACGTTTTTTTTTATTATTGTTAAAGTTGCTCTCTGTGCCACACCCACTTTTTGTTGGTGTGATCGAATCTGTGCGCTAACCACTGTCGTTCTAATAGTCTATACCTCTCGGCGCTCAAATACAACGGTTTTCCTCGTCTGGAAAAAAACAAAATTCATCGGTACACCGTTATTATTTATGTTAACATATGATAATACATATTATTTAAGTATTTATTTATATTTAAAAACCAACAACATTCTAATAAATCTTGCACAGCCACAAGTGTTGGACACCGCCTTATTCGGCATCAGCGTATCATCCGTCGTCACACTAACGCGTGTAAGACAACGCATCCGACTACAGCTACTTACTTTAGTTCACGATCTTCTTCTCCGAAAGCGTCCAGGTAGACGGATCCCCAGAGGCACGCTCGCTTTCCTCTGATCACCACGACCGAACTTGAAGTGACCACCAAGAACATTGCGGTTCCGCCGCCGCATTCGATTGAATGCTAAGACAAAAAACAAAAAATGTTTACATTAACGTTACGTCGGATCGAACAACGACAACGTGGAGTACACGTATTTGCAAGTTTGTTGAAAACATGAAATACCTGAACGGCTTCGCAAACGTTATCGGTTTTGCAACAGTTCTCCTTTAGGCACACCACAGTTCCGCATACCAAGCAAACGCTAGTTTCTCGGGGCACGCCGTGGCAGCGATGACACGGACGGCCGTGGTAGTATTGGAACACGTCGTCGTACAAATGCGGTAACCTCAACAAGCGGGGTCCCGTCCAATTGACGGCGGTCACACATCCGGCGGCATCCGCACTAGTCGCCGCTGCTGCGGTGTCGTTGTCGTCGTCGTCGTCGTCCACGGCCAACAACTGTCTGGCGGTCATCATCAGCAGCGGTCCGTCGTCGTCGTTGTTCGTTGTGCTCGCTATGTTCCGCAGCGATTGTCGCACGGTGAAAAACCAGCTGATCGCTATGCTGCTGTCGTTCGGGCTCTGCACCGGCCAATTGCACGCTTCCATAGCCTTGGGCATCGCCTTGGCGCCGTCGTCTATTAACCGTAAGTATCTGACCAGCATTTGGAACTCGTAATCGTCTCTGCAGAACCGTTTATTGTGACAGCACGGCGTTTTCTTGTTTCTCCATTTCGAGTCTTCCGTCATGTGCGCTAACTGTAAATGCGCAAACATCTCATCGTCGTTGCCTCCGTACATGTGCCGGCACAACAACGTGGCGAACCTCAAAAACGGTAAACTGCATTGTCTGGCGTACGACTCTAAATCGTCCTCGGACAGCGTTCGATTTGTACTACCGCCACTACTGTTCATCATATCGCATTGATGACCGTCGTTGGTGTCGCTGATGTCGTCGTCTTTGCTTTGGTCGTTGTCGTCGTCGCCGATGCTTTTACGGTGTAACACCATAGTTTTCGCTAAATACACAGCCCGAATGAAATGATGGGATTTATTGTGCGCCGTGTTGTTGTCTGCAGCGGCAACTTTTTGACTAGAATCGCTGGAACCCGCCGCCGTTTCTTTGTAGTTGTCGTACAACAGAGACGATGATGTAGAAGTAACGGCTACTTTCAGAGCGGTTGCGTATAACTGCATGTTGTACAACAGTTTCACCAGAGTATCAAATAAGTCTGTAAATAAACAACAACAAACATTGAATTGCGATTGTGATTACATTCAATATACACATTATTGTTATATGACATTCACTCACTACGTTCGATAGAAGGTGGCAACAGCAACACCAGTTGCAAGAGAACTGAACACGGATCACGCAACATCAACGGCAATTGTCTCTGCCGCACGTCCATCGTATCTTTGTTGGGCATAACCGGATAATCTTGCCCCGTCAGCTGTGACCAAATCTCGGACAACACGTTTTCTTGGTCAGGATCGTTTACCAAACGGCGCGCTCTGGCGTTCAACACTCTCAACAGAGGAGCTGCAACAGTAACACATAACAATTAGTAATAATTCAGTTTCGACCGTCGTTGTTGGGAACGGTCGATATTTTTTGTTCCATACCGGTGCAACTACGCTTGGGCAACATGTCGTAATAATGGTAACCCTGGACGTATCTACTGCCACTCTGATGGTGAACATTTGACGCGCCCGAAGGCGGCGGCAGCAAGCTGTTGTCGCGTTGCACCAGTTCCACTTGTATGTTTGTCCAAGCTACGGACACGATACTCTGCCAAGTGGTGTTTGAAGTATTACCGCCGGTTGGCGGGTTGGCCGCCGCCGCCGCCGCCACCGCTGCAGCCGACATTGAATTGCCAACGCTACTGTTGCTGCTGGTGATCATGTCGTCGACACATCTGTTTATAGCGTCCGTCAAAGGATCTTGTTCCTGAGAAAAAAAGAAAAACAATAATTATTAATTACTTCTACTACTTAACGGGCTCTACTTTTGTTACGCTTGACTTACCAACGAGTAATAGTTATATACGCCGGTGGTGTTGCTGCTGGCCACGACGTGATGGTCTTCGACGCGCGGCATTACCGACGTGTCGGACAACACGCCCATAATGCGAGAAGACAATATACTGCCGCTGGTCATTTGTTGCGGTGGTTGCACGACAGTTTTGCTAACGTGTTGTTTGTACACCCGTTGATGCCTTTGCAAGTATTGCACTAAACCGCCAATGGTCTCCATGTAATGGCCCATCGGAGAATTCGAGTGCTGCGCCGTCTGCCGCAGTTGCAATACGGACAGGCGGAAATCGTAGTTGGTCAACGGCAACACGGAATTCGCTAGCTGTCGACACAACGGGCAACTGTATTCTCCCCTAAAACATTGTGTTTAAGTGAGTTTTACATTTTTTTTTTATTTAACGGGTGGTGATTTCTTTTTTTTTCCACTTACCTGTCCGACGCGTATCGTTGAGCTCCACGCAGAGACGCCAAATACGAACGCCAGCACCTGAGATGCAAGTGATGGCCACACGTTTGTACGTGAACTCCTCCAACTGTTCGTCCCGCACCGGCTTGCAAGTCTGTCACCGTAATGTCCAAATTCTAAATAATTAAAAAAAAAAAACTATTACAATATTCGTTTACTCGATACCGCAGCAACAAGCTTATTTCGTCGTCGTTACCATAAAATGTTGATTCAACAGTTGTCTCTTTCTGTCCACGTATGCACCGTACGTGGACGTGGAATTATCTACTCCCCCGTCCGCGGTGCCATCGTGTAAGGTACCGGCGGCGGCGTCTTGCGGTGCGCCGCCACACTGCAGTAGTGAAAACTGATTGTGGTGTTGTTTGGACGGCGACGGCGGCAAGCTGGGCCAATCGGAATAGTTTTCCGTGTCTTCTTCCGGTTCCACCATCATCACGTCTTCGCCGTGTTGCAACAGATCCACCGTGGCCGCATCGGCAACCGCACCGGCCGCCACTTGTCCGCCGCCGCCGCTTCCTTGTTCGCCGCAGATCCGTCTACACTTGCCGCTGCTCACTGCGCGGCCGCTGAACGCCGAAGGCGTAACCCCTCCTCGTTGTTCTCTCTTTCTTCTCCGGCGTCTATGAGCCAAAACGTTTGTACCCTATACACACGAATAATAAACAACGATTATTAACGCTTACAGTTTTCCCAATCTTAGATTAAATTATATACTATAGATAAACAACGCCCATGTTGTGATAAGAAACGCATATACAACACAAATATTTTAATGGAGCGTGTGTGTGGCATAGCTAAAGACAGAACAAAACATAATAATATGCGATCCGCCGGCAAGCATATATGCTTGAGCAACCCATTCCGAGCTTTTTATTGACAGAAAAACTGTAATTACAAAAAGAGCTTCCGGCCTTTCCGCGTGTATTGTTTATCAGCTATAGTATATATTTTAATCTATGTTCTTATTATGATATGTTACACACTTGAACGAGTATCACCAAGCCAACCGGGTCCAGCCGCTGTTGTTCGCTAACGGTGACGGTTTGGTTGCAAATGACGCAATCCACGGCGGTCTCGAAAACCGTGTTGAACAAATAATTCTCCACTCTGGATTTGGCCGCTTCGACGTTATCGTCCGCTATCGCTTCGGGTATCGATTGATTGGCGGCGTTATCTTGCTGTTGAGCGGTAGTCATGTTGGGCGGCGGTTCATTTGACGTCGACGATGAAGTGTCCGTGACCATCGGCGTTGCAGCGGTCGGTGCGGCCGCCGGCGTTTCCTCTTCGTAGTCCATACTGAACGAATTGCTGCTCGGTTGTCGGGCCGCATGAGTAGTCGTCAAATCTTCACCCGTCGAAGAGGTCGGCACGGCGTTGGAAAGTTCAAGTTCGCCGGACAGACGGGCGTTCTCGATGAAGGCCCGTTGCGCTCTGGCCATCTCTTCCATCATGCGACGCTGTTTGTCGTGTGCCCGCCGTTTGCGTTCTCGCCGTTCGCGTTCCTCCAGGTCCCGCGTGGCCGCTTCCCTGGCCACCACGGCCCTCGGCCACAGTGTGTTCCTGGCGCGCGTCACACATTCGTAGGACAAGGAGAACCCGGACGGCCCGCCGCCATCGCCAATCGACGCAATCCTGTCCAACAGCTTGCCCACGTAATGAGCACCGTCTCCGGGTCCGTATTCCTGTTGGCCGTCGATGTCGTCGTTGATGGGAACCGAAGAAGGTGGTGGTGGCTGATACGAATCTGGACGACCCGACAGCTGCGAATGCAGTCGCAGCAACAGTGAAATTATACTTTCATCGACCGGCACCGATTCGTCGTGATCGATATGTTCCTGTAATATTAGATAAATTAAAGCGTTATCGAGACAAACATGACGATTAAAATAGTACTTACGTATTTTTGTTCTTCTTGCGCCGCCAGCGCCGCTGCGGCGTTTGAACTGTTACAAGTGCCTTGATCGAAAGGGTCGCTTTGCAAAAGGTCCTGCTGCTTCAACGTCAGGTGCGGTTGCGACATGTCGCCTTCGACGACGCCGGCCACCGATGCACTAGCGTTGCTCAGGAATTGCAAATGTTGTTTGACAACATTTAACGCAGCGTCGGCTATAATAATAATAATAATAATAAATATTCATCAATTATAATGTAAAAATTATAACGTGTTGTTGAAATGTTATATACAACACAAATGGCAATTTACTTATTGATGTACTGCTACTGCCAGTTGGGTTGGCAGAAGTAGTGGTGGTCACAGTCGTAGAAGTGTTAATGTGACTGTAAAACGGCGCCATGGCCGTGTTGAAAAGATTTGCCGCAGGGCGAATAGAAAGCGATATCGACGGCGCTGTCGCAGCACTTGACGATGGTATTATTTCTTCGCTAGCTAACGAAGCCAACGAAGGTACTGTTATCATCGGAATGAAGCCGCTGTTGGTGGACTGCTGTGGATTATTACTCTGCGGTTGATCTAAAACGTATACACAACCGGAATTGTTTTAATACGATAATTATTACAAGAACGGCTGCTCAACAGAGACCAACAGCTATATAACCACTTACCTCTGAAAGCACTAGTACTGGCACTGGATAATGCTCCACCGAAATAATCCAAAAAATTTACGGTCCCAGAGGTCATCGTGCCAATACTCGTGGACGGCCTGTTGTTTTCATGAAACCGACTCGAATCGAGTGCGGACGACGCCACTTTTCTTCTGGGTAAATCGATATGCGTTATGACGGTTCGCAAGTTTACGAGCAAATCATCACTGGAGTACCATCTCTCCAGCAAAGTTCCGTGTGATCCGTCGGCGTTAAAACCGGTTATGTTTTCGATATCGTTTTCCATGCGTATACGCCTCTTGGGACATACAGTGTCATCCGTGTCGCCCGTCATCATGTCCGTTGCATCTTTTTTATCGATAGATCCTTCGGGTTTTATTTCTCCAGATGGATATCGGAAATTCAGTTGCGGAGGAGCATCGGTCTCCATCGGTTCTTGACGTTCCTCCTCCGACTGATGCTGCTGTTGTTGTGGTGGTGGTACGGCGGCTTTGTTGAATTTCTCAGATTTTTCTCTCTCTTTGCGCTCTTGATACAACGCTACCGACTGATCCAGAAGGTACACCAGCAGGCTAAGGGTGTGTTCGCTTATGTCTCGACTGCCGCGCGCCGCTCGGTACAAAGCGTGCCACACGACGGCATGCCAGGCCGGCGATTCCAAAAGTAAACGCCTCGGATCTCTGTACGCCGGATGATGACGCCTGGGATTGCGGTAAGGCGGCCACGGAATGGGGTAGCTGGACGACGAAGTGGAACTGCAAACGCTAGACGTTGAGCTCATCGTACCCGACTGACTCGAGTCTTGTTGTAAATTCCGATTCAATAACAAGCCTTTGGATCGAACGCTAAAAGTAATATTATTATTATTATTATTATTATCATTATAGTAATAAGGAAAATTTGAAAAAAAGTCTATCCAAACGGAACAATTTTCAAATAATCTTACAACGCAGTGTAACGATCCATCGAAGACTGAAAATCGCGGCGGTGCACTGCTCTCAACAGAACGTGTATCGGATCGAAGAGCTTTAACCAAACGTCCGAGCCGCCGTTCTCTTTGTTTCTGTTACAGCTGATACAGCTGCCTTTGGGAACGTACAGGCCTTGTTGCATGGTGCCCGACGATCTCTCGTATTGAGGTCGTTTATACTCGGCCACCTAGATCACCAAAAATACCAACAAGAGCCAATGATGTTATTGGAAAATAAACTATACCAGTATTATTGCATATATATATATATATATATATATATTTTTTTTTTTTTTATATATTTTACTGACCGCTTGCAAAACAGTTTCAAAGTCACGGTCAGAAGTGTTAGCCGTAGTGGCGGTAGTCGACGCGCTACTGCCCCCTGCGCTCGAAGAACTCGCTCCGGTATTAGTAGACCCTCCGCCGCCACAACGTTCGGGCATGAGTTCCATCAGTTGACTGTGAGTCTTGTCGGACACACACAACAGCGTCACCATTTCCAGTTGAGTCTGACAATAATTGTAATCTTCGTCGGTACCTTTAAATAGAGATAAATAAAAGTCATTTATAAGTATATATAACATCATGCGCATCAATATTACACAACATTCTAACGGCAAGGGGTAAATAAACAGTTTTTTTTTTTTTTTTTATATAAAAGTATACTCACACAAATTGGTACGGACTGAAACCAATGTCGCTAAAAACACCAGCAGACTTTCCAGAGCACTCGGAGTAATATCGTTTATTGCGCCGTTATAGTCTACACCGGCTTCGGCTTCGTTCCCGTTTCCCGTCCCCGGGGATCCGTCATTTCCGTTGTCGCTACCGTTTCCGGCACTTCCAGAGGCTCCTTTCATCATTGCGGGTAGACCCTGTGGTGATCCATTTACCATGGCAGGCTTCATCCACTCGTCCGCCTTAAATCTATATAGTAGACAAATTGAATTAAATATAAATAAAGTACAAGGTCATTTGTTATATATTATATTATTATTATTATAAAACATATTTTGTTCAACCGTCAAGTTTTTTTGTTTTTGAACCTAAGGAAAACATACTTTTAATGGGAGACCAAAATTAAGAGTAAAAATAATATACAGTTGTTATTTTACTATTACAAAAAAAAATATGATGTTTATAGTTGTCTGTTAATTTCATCGACATCATACGACCAAATGTATTTGATTTTTAAATAGGTACTGAAATGCGATCAAACTACAGTTATAAATTAAATGGTTTTCAACAAGTTTAAATCTTTAATTTCTTACATACATTTATTTATGTACTTTGGAAAATATATGATATATATATATATATATATATTTTAAAAAAAATTTCGGTTTAACTTTTATGTAATATTTTTATGTATGTTTTATATTTTTCTATAATATAATTATTATTTTAATCCTATACTCTGTGGCCGTATTGGAATACTTACTTATCCAATATGAGACGCATGTACGACGGCACGTCGGAAATCTCCGACAAGCACAGTTGCAACAGATAAATGTCGGCGTCGACCATGGAAATACAAAAATTCGACTGGACATACGTCATGGCCTGTCCTTTAATCTGTAATCCGTTCCTGACCCAAGCGCCTTGGGTCATGATTTCATAGAATGCGGCCTGAGCTCTCAAAGGGTGTTGGGCAATTTTCAACAGGATGCCGTCCATCGACTTGTCGTTACCCTTACAGCCTTGAGCAGCTGCCGTAGCGTAATTTTCATTTCCAATTTCAGCGGCACTCCAGTTGCCGCCGACTTTGGACGGAAACATTTCCGACAACAGCTCGTCCAATAAATTTCTGATGACTCGTGGACGACGCTGGTCGTAATCGTCGACTTGGCTTTGGTTTTTCTTGAGCAACTCCTCTAGTTGTTGTTGTTGTTGTTGTTGTTGATAAGCCGTCCGTATCGCTTGGCACAAGAAAACGGCCAAGTACCGATGCAACGGCAAATGAAAAGTAAATTGATGGCGGTCCGACGTGTCTTTGATGTAACTTCTAACGCCCCAACTGACGTTGTCCTTTTCACCGTGAACGTCACGCAACCATTTCAACAGTCTCTTGAGGCACGCTCTCAGCACCCTCTTGGACAGTTTTAACGTTTCCGAATCTTCGGCGGCGGAATGTTTTGATTTTTTATCGCGTTTCTTTGCGACGGCAACAACTTTGTCGGCAGCGTTGGTGGACGCATCGTTTTCATTGGTTTTACTGACCGCCGCCGTTTTGGTGTTTGTCGACGACAGGTGCGACAGCATGGCCCACATGGGATAAGCACTAGCTTCGAGCTCGGCACTAAACGCTGCGTAATAGGTGTTGGGTTCGAATTCGACATGATGACCCAGTTCCCTGCAGTTGACGTTCATTCCTGCGTAGCAAGTAACACATACGTGTACGTAAGTTACATTTTATTATTGTTTGTAAAAATTTGAAGAAAAAAAAAAAAGCCCTAATTTTTTGTACACTACCTTGAAACACCGACAAATATGAAAACCAAGAACGGAGTAATCGATCGTCCCGCATGAACCTCACGGCAATTGGTCTGTGCGACAGTACATTGTTCAAGTCGCTGACCAACGGCCAATAACAGTGTTCCTTCATTACGGGCTTACTGCAATCGACGACTTTGTGTCTGTTTCTACTGGGAACTATAAAAAAAAAAAAAAAAAAAAATGTTAAAATATGTGCTCTATTTTTGGTTATTTATTTTAATTATTTACCGTGCAGCGTCGACGGTATGAGTATATTGTTCATCATGCCGCGCAAACTCTTCACCATTACTTTCAGCAGCTGATGACGCACCACCATTCTCTTTGCCAACGATTCGTTACTGAACAGCTGTACACTAATGTGCACTATATGATTGGACAGAGTGTCCGAATCGCGAGTGGCTGCCAGCACTCTGGCAACGCAGCCGTAATGAGATGTAAACGCTTCGGTCAAACATCTTTTGTACGTCGCGTCCGGCAACATGTTCAAAAGGAAACAAACGATTTTCTGCGGAAATTCATAACGCACCGTCCAAAAGACAATTTCCTGTAGAAACGTGCTGTGCGATAGATATTTGTTGTTCTTATTCGAACCGCTGTTGGGTTTCTTTTTTCTTTTCATTTTCTTCTTTTTCGAATGAACTCCAGCGGTTCGTTCATCCAATTCTACTTCCATACCTGTTATAAAACAACAGTATTTATAAAAAAAATTTTCTAAATATTTTAAAAATGTGATTACTATCAGAAATATTCGAAACTTACCTTGAGATGTCTCCGCATCGTATTCATCTTCATCTTCATCTTCATCTTCGGACGATGAACTACTCGAGCTATCCGGACTACTCGAGCTGGAACTGCTCGAACTAACACCACCCAACGGCCACGCTTGAGCCAAATTTTGTTGTCCGGTGGCCATAGCGTTTTCAGAAACGACTGGTTCCGGAGTGCCGCCTATGCCGATATTGTATTGTCGCAGCGCTTGCGTGTACAACGCTCGCACCCTGTCGGCGTACGTTGTGTACATGGTGTTCACCGTCGACGTGGCGGCACACGAAAAAGATGGAAAATTCTGTTGGCTCTTCGGCTCTTCTCCTTTGAAAACAGCACTGTGACTAGAATTGCCTGGTACAGTAGTACTTATACTTGCATTGTTGTTGTAATAATAGTCGCACGCCCATTTGTAAATCTAAAAAAAAAAAAATATTTAACATGTATTGTGATGAAAAAAATATTGTCTACACATTGAGCCGAGGACGACCCGTTGCCGTACCCGTTCATCGGTTAAAGAAACCGTCATTAGACGACGCATCGCAGCACCGAGCGCACTCAAATCGTGTAGAACGCTCAAAAAGGGTTGCAAGTCGTCCAGATTTTTATTGAGCGTGTTGATTTGTACACTTTGTTGCAAATGATGGGCTTGATGCTGCTGGAAGTGCACCTGATGTTGTGGGCCAGGGCCGCCGGCCGGTAAAGGAAGTCCCGGAACGGCTCCGGGTCCTCCTATGTTCATCATTGGCCTGGTGTGATCGATAACGGCTGATAGACCCGACATCGCGCCACCTTCATGTTTGCTAAATAAATCAAAAACAACATTTAATCAAATACATATAATTATACACATATGTGCTGCTGATTTTGACAACATAAGAGTTATTGAGAAAAAATCAAAAGTTGTGTGTTTATTTATTAATTTAAATTGTTTATTACTTTGGGTCCAGATCGCTACTGGCATCGCTGTTCTCTCTTAAATACTGTACAAGTCTCAATAATAATCTAGGCATGAGACGCTCAGCTACCCTCAAAAGATCTGGCGGAGGCTTTTTATATTTTTTCGAACTACTACTCCCATGACTATGATTCCGACAAAACCTATGGACAATTGAATGGAAAAAAATAGCACGATATTAGTTCAACAACATGTATTTACAATCAGATACTTAGATTTTAATGTTCACATTATTTTTATTTTTTAAAACGTTATCATTATCTGATGTTTTTAAGTAAAAACTATTAATGTCTATTAATGTTGAATGTACGTACCCGTCGGCTTTCATGACACTAGTGTCACCACAATCGCAAGCACCGCCGGCTTGTGAACGAAACATGTTGAAATCGTGTTGGGCATGGTCGCCAGCTTTGAAACAATCGGCGCACAACGACATGCAAGGCGATATACTACAGGTCCTACAACGATAGGCGACATAGTTTGCCGTCCACACCAGTCCACAGCATGTCCCGTAATCGTATTGTTTTACTGAAAATAAATTATAAAAAAATTAGTTCACACTGAATGTGGCAAAAAACCACACACATTCGTCAAAAAGCCAATTTCTTCACCATTACAATAATATTTTTCAATCCAAATGAATAATATAATAAAAATAACAGTAATAGCAAAAATCTGGGTAATCATTTTTTTGTAATATTAATTGTTTTTATTTTTAATTATTTAAATACACGCTGGCTTCGCTCGGCTTAGATAGTATCGGTCCCTCCTCCTATTTTGACCATGTGCCCACCACACACAATCCACTATAAGGCCAATGTGTTCTTTCTCGAGGAATTATCTACGAAATGAAAAAAACCGCATCTAAATCGAGTCGGTAGTTTCATCAGACATTACTTTGGACATGGAAATGACACTATCATCATTGTTATTGTCTAATCCTTATCCCCTTCTCCCCTCCCCTAAGAAATATACTATGGAAAAAAAAAGGAACAAATAAAATTGTTTTTAAAAATTGGTAAATCTTTACAATTGCCCATGCCCGTGTTCTCTAAAAAAATGAATCTCCACAAGATACAAAAACCGCTTGTACATTGGTTTAGCAGTTTTGGAGATTAGCCCAAACAAAAAAAATGGACTTTACTTTATATATAGGTACGCATAGAGAAGATTACAAATCACCTAAATATGTTTAAACAGCAGTTTAGATAACAGTATAGGTAAAACAAATATTTTCCAAACTATAGTACCACAACATAATAATAGTTATGTAACATCTAACCTACTAGGTTTTTAATTGTATTTATTTTAGAACTGCATACAGTAATAATAATTTACGTTGTTCTACCTTAAAGATTTTAGCCATTTACATTTCCCTCAATGCAACCAAAGACATTATACGAATGCAGTTATTTGTGACAAAACAAATAATTTAGTAAGAAAATAATAACCACAAGTGTTGTTCAACACTTGTTGTGCTCAACACATTTATTTTCTACGAAAAATATTTCAAGGGGAATTGTTAAAATTAAATAAAAACATACTACCTACAACGAAATTGAAAAAAAAAAAATACTTATAAACCGTTGTATATACCTATAACAAGTAATGTTAGGTAGGTTAAAATTAAAAAAGTCTCAGCAAAATAAATTATGCTGGTCATAATAATAATAAATCGATATCAACGTAACAGTCATGATTTTTAACAATTTTAGTTACTAAAAACAATATGTTTAATTAGGATTTTTATCATTTTTTTTTTTTTTTTTATAAATAAAATTATATTAAAACAATTATACACATATTTAAAACTACCCTCGGTAAAATAATCATATTATCACACGATATTATTTTACGGTAAGAACATTAGCCCAAGGTCATCAAGCAGGGGCAAATTTCTTAAGTGTTTTTTTCAAAAGTACAAAAATAATTATTAATTATATTTGTATTAGTTTGTCGCCAATCGTTGACATATAATCTTAAGTTGTTATTGAACGGATCTTTACCGTGCCATAAATAATTTAAACAAAGCTGCTGGCACTTGAATTTCAAGTAAAGAATAAAGAAAATTTACTTTTAAACATAGCTGTGTGTTTAAACAACCACACAAAAACAGGTCGTCACTATTGATTTTATAATCACACACAGGAAAGCCAACGCTGTAGGAGTTCACGGGGCACCAGTTTTCCGGCCACTAGGAGCGCTAATGGCGGCCACAACAAAATCAATACTTTATGTAATGTTATTGGTTTAAGTTGCTTGGCCCTTTCGAGAAGGGCCATCCATTTTTTTTTTTTTTGCATAACAGCTTATCTCTGGGGATTGAGAACTGAGAATTTGTATTGTAAAGACGCATTTATGCAAACTTTTAATTTCAAATATTAAACACGAAAACGGATTTAGTTTTACAATACACGACTGAACGTGTTAACTAACTATCGAGTTTTATATCAACAATTGTACATTTTTTCACTGTACCTATAATTAATATTATATTTTGTTAAAGAGCGTCAAATAAAATATTCATGGTTGAAATTAACACCACATTGGAGACTAAACTAATTATTTAAGACATTGCTACGTTCAGGACTGGTGCCGTATCTAATAGCGGTCACTATTTTTTATATACTCGAGACGATAGTATTCCGATATCATTGTTACGTTGAGGACGAACGCCGTGTTTAAAACGGGCAATATTTTACGTCTAAAAGGACGAGCACCGTGTTTTACAAGAAATTGTTTTTGATATATATTACTTGTAGTACAAATTGTATAAAGAATATCGCAATGCCAACAATATTTGTTTTCACACTATAATATTTATTTTTAGGTGTACACGGCATTCGCCCTCAACGTTGTTACCCGATAATAATATTGCCGTCTCCTATACTCAATAATAAAGACGGCGTTAAACACGGCACAGTCGTCTCCATTGTGTTAATAAAAAAACTTGTTAGGCAGTAAGAGTGGTCATTTTTGTTCTAATGAAAGACATTATGTTCTTACATATCGACTTGCAATAGACAAAAGATAGAAAAAACTGATAAAATAACACGAGGAAATGGTAGTAAACTGGTAGTATCGAAAAATAAAGAAAACTTGATAAATTGGGACTTAAGTGCATTGCAGAAGTACTGTATTGTAGAAATCTATGTATCAACGACTCATCGGTATTTCCGATGACATCATCAAACCTATATAAACGATTGCTGTTGCCGGTAAGCCATCAGTCGACGATTAGCACTCAAGATGACATTACACAGTTACCGAAATATGTGTATGCTAGAAGTGTATTGGGTTTTATTAAAAGTTATACAAATTTCCACAAAGTTACTCTGGTTTTTATTTACTAGTATCTGTATTACAACGGTACTCTAACCTAACAACAAACCTGTTCAGAGTACTCCGCCGAGCCGAGCGGCACGTTAGAAATTAATTTTAATGGAATCCACTACGTCTCCCTTGAAAAAATGTCTATTCAATCTATTCTAGATTATTATTTTCTATCGTTTTAAACGTTAATGACAAAACGTCCAAATCACTTCAAACATGCATTTTTAAGTCTATATATGTATAAGAACTCCATAAGTTCAATTCTATAAAATCATTACATTATAGAGTTCAGTGTGTGTACATAGCAAAATTGATTAACAAAATGAATATTATGTGGGTTTACCTAAATTAGTAAATTCGTCTAATGTTTTTCCTCCTGCCATCAGCCATCGTATCCAGTCTAGTTCTCCTCCGCTTACACCCACATTGCTGATGGCGTTCAACGGGTTTAACAGGACATCCAACAGCTGATCGAGTAATCGACAGCGGCTCAATTGTCTCATGGCGTCGATATCGGCATCGGAATCAGAATCTGACGAATCGTACGAGTCTTCGTCGCTCGATTCCTCAGACGAGTCGGTAGCGGAGGGTCCGTCGACGTTTGTAACTTGTTGGTCCTCTTCCATGGACACCTCTACAGAGCCCTGATGCGGTTTCTCTTGTCTGGGCATATTTTCGAACAGCTTATTGTCCAGCACTTCGCATTCGGCGGCTATCGTTGCGGCGGCTCCACGTTTACCCTTCTTCATTAACAAATAGGCGGCCGCGACGCCCATGGTGTCCGTCGTCGAACCACTCGCTTGGTCATCGGTAGGCCGCTGATATTCGTCGGCAGACGAGTCGCCACCATCCATATTGATGGCGAGGCGTGTACTCAAGCTGGCAAACCCGAAGAAAATCGCAGAACGCTATCGCTCCGTTGTTGATAGCCGATGTTGATGTCCGAAGTTGAATGAAACGGCACAAGCGGTGACATCGTTGAACTGGGCCGTACGGTAATATTGGACGGTCGATAGCCGTCCTACGAGAACAGCATCGTCGCGACACCGATGATATTTTTTGTCGTCGGCAATACTAACCGGGATTAATGATGATATGTTTTTGCGTGTGCAGCACCAGATAACACACGTTCGCAAAGTGTGTTGTTGATAAAAAAACACACGGGAATTCGGTTTGGAAAAAATAATAAATAAATAAAGCGCGTACCGTGTGATAAAAAAACTTGGCCGGCCGCGGTGGCGCACGGTGTGTAAAAAATTGGCGAGCAAAATTTTTCCAAGTGGAAAAAAAAAAAAAAAACGTATCCGTAGTAACGCGAACAGCAAAATCACATGAGAAAAATTCGCTCTCCGTTCGCCTTTGGTGTGTGTGTGTGATTATTATATCATCCGCGAACGGGGATCGGTACGGCGGTGGCGGCCCCTTCCACTGCGGCTCACGCCATTGACATATAACACTATAACAATAATAATATTCTCGCTCTGGGTACCTCTACAGTAGTAATCAGCGGCCGCGCGGTGGGAGAAACGCGAGGCGGTAGAAAGAGAAAATACAACATCACAGCACCGTGGAGCGCGCAACGTCAGCGGCCGCGGGTGCGACGGAGACCGAACGCGGTTACGGCCACACGACCGCGGCCGAACCGCACGACCCGACCCGGCCGTCCCCCCCTGCCTTCCCCGCTCCCCGGTCGATTTTGTCCGTCTTGCGCACGGCTCCCGTGTGTCGTGTTATCACACAACGGTATAGTGTTATCAATTCGGTAGTAATCATCGTCGTAATATTATACAATCGATTGATAACGTGGAGGTAAAACGTGCCGACTGACTGACGTTTCGGCTTTGGCCACCGCGCCCCGCACCAGTCGTTCCCCGCAAACGCGTACACCCGCGGGGTGGGTTCACTGAACCCCGTTTCTTTCTCGGGGACTTTGCACACACACACACACATCGGGTAATATTATTATAATATTATTTTCTTACCGATTATTACTATAGTGATGTGACTCATGTGTGTACACATATCTAGGTGGAAATCAATTTCAGGGGGGCTAGTAATAATAGTACATGTTTCTAGAAATTATATTAATCAATCAACGATTAGAGAAAAGAAAAAAACATATAAGTAAATAATAATAATTAGAACAATACAATTACATAATAACATAATAATACAATTAATAATCAATAATTAAAAATATACATGTTATGGGCTATACTGTTGATATTAATACTATATTGTTCTGTTTCTTTCAGCGAGTGTTTATCAGTGATTTCTGTATTGTCAATATCTTTTTTCATTGCCGTTTTTCAATATTAAAGATTGTTGGAGTATTTTAAAACGATTTTGAACCATTCATGTTTTCACCTATATTTTTAATAAGCCTCGTTGCAGAGAAGCCTCACACAATTGACTTAACTGATTACCTAGTGATATTATTATCGCCACTTGTAATAGTTGATATAAATTTGGAAATATAACTACTCGAGTTACACATTTTTTTATATTTTCTAAGTTGAAGTCATTTTTACCGCAAGTATTAACAAGTAACAACACGATTTTTGCAGCTGACATTTCAGTTTCGAGATTATTGATAGATACATTAATCAAATTCTAAAGCAATGAGTAAAGAAAAACATACATCTTGGAGTTTATTTGGCTCACTTATTTTGCTTTTTTCGATACCAAAGGTTAGGTTAGTAGTTTGGTAAAGAAAAAGGTCACGTTTGCACAGAAAATGCAATAAAATATTTGTACTACTATAGGAATATTCCTAAAAAAATATACTAAACCCCAAATAAATTACTAATGTACAAGTAATTTAATAAAACACTGTTTTATTGCTGTTGTCAGTTGTTTAATTATGATGTTGGGTTTGGTTCGTTTTATACATAAAGTTATACTTATTTATTTTCGAAATATTAACGACCAGTTGTAGCTTGTTTTTATTTTTAAAAGTATATATAGTGTAAAATGTATATGAAGTATTCATATTATATTATATATTCGGGTTAGTTAGTAATTAAGTTTATTCAAGTTTAAAAATCAAATAGGCCAACTTCCATTCTAACAGATTTGTTGAAAGTTTGAAATTTAATTTAGTTTTAACAGATAGACAGTGTAGGAATAATATTACCTGTAAAAATAAAGTGATTAGGTATTTAAAATGCAAACTTTACACCGAAGACTGACAAATACATAACATTGTTGTTAAACACTCAATACATGCGTGAAAACATATTATTTTATCTGGATAGAAGAATATGCATTTTAAATATCATATTAGGTATCAGAACTGAAAATACTACAGAGGCCTGTGACCAAAAATAAATTACATACTAAAAACAAATTGTAGCCTCACATAGAAATTGAAAAATTGTGTTTACCTGTCGTTTTAAACTAAGTAATTATAGGCAATCTCCTGGTAGTGTTATGATATTATATAATATATTTTTTTTTTTAATTATGTAACTTTTTACACTGGTGTTTGGATGGTGATAATCTAATAGAGACTACCTACTTTTAACGAAGACATATTATACCTTTAATTATAACATTAATGAATAACCTGTTAAGTGTTTCCAAAAATACAAATCAACACTTTTTACATTTTTTTTAGTAAAACAAGAAGAAAATATGCAACTCTGATTAGAAAATCAAAAAATCAGTACTTAAATGGGACAAAATTCCAAAAAACTTTCCCCCTTCAACTATGTTTGAAGATGAGAAGATGTTTGGAAACGAGGCTATAACTTTTAAAGAATATTTTTGTAAGGGTAATTAAGTAAATAATGAATTTTGCACATTTACCTATTCCAAGACAAATATGTATCGATACTTTACATCACAAAACTTTAACGAAATCGGGCTAATCATTCGAATTGCTTACAAAAACAGAACTTGAACATTTTATAATTCCCCTAGGATATATTGTACTTAGGTCAAATCATCGTGGGGCACCTTCTTGTATGATTACCGTTGGTTTCAAAAGTTACTAAAGAACATTACGGGAAAGTATCAGGACAAGATCAATATATTTTGATCAAACTCGTTGTTATGCAATTTAATATAATATGTTATCTAACATGACAGGGTTTTTATCATTTTTTTTTTTTTTTTTTTGCTTTCAAAACGTTTTTAAATAGTAGGTAGGTATCTATCTCTATCTATTCTACGGTGCGGTTTCGGCTAAATTGATAACAATTATTATGAATTATTCAGCTATTCAGAGTTGGGATGATATTTTATTAAGATTTCCGTTTTATAATATTATTATCTTGTCCGCAAAGCAATGGCCGATTATGCCGACGGGAAGCCGCGGCCCCCTGTCATGACTATAATAATATAGGACCGGATCTTTTCATTCTACTTGTACAATTCATAAAAATCAAATTACTGTTGTTTATTTTTTTCAAATACCACATTTTACTAAACTTGATATTATCAAACTTATCCGTCGTCTTAGGTTCTTATATATATATATATAATATGATTGTGTATACATAAATAGGTTTACATATTATACACTCTCACACACATATTGTATAGTATAAAAAAAAGTCCTATGCATTATGTAAAAAAAAAATATATCTTCATGCATTGAATTGAAATAATAATAATTGGAGTAGGTTTACAATATTATACTATTAACAGTATTAAAATTTAGTTCAAATGTTCAAACCAAAAGAACTGTGCAGAACATGTTTTGGCAGAATAACAATTTTTTTTTTTTTTTAAATAAATAGATATAATAGATTTTAAAAATAAAGACATTTTTATCTAGAATGGCGTTTTGTTTCCCATAAAACTACTTGGATTACTTGAACTAATTAATTATATTATCTTAATCAATGGAGTATTACAAACAATTTTATTCCCAACGGTCCGCCACTGTCATAAAGCATAATATAGTTTTATCGAAATCACAAATGTTTTTTTGGTAGTTTTTAAAAGACCTCTTTTCAACAATAAGAAAAAAAAGGTCGAGGGTGTATCAAAATACATAATCTTAACAACTAAGTAATTTATAGTTAAATTTAAAAGCACTTCCTATATTATATTTTATGGGAATATTGTATCGAACGATAATATTATTACTTGTTTTTACAAATTATAAAATTTAAGGCGGATCGTATGACGTTACGTAAAATCATTTCGATAACAATTGATCTCCTTAAAATGGTTCAATACCCAATAAATGTCAAGTATTAACAAATAATAATAAAAAAAAGTCAAGCATTAACTTTTAATCGAAATTCAACTGAAACTCTGTTTCATCTTTAATTTACTTAGATTCAAAGATATGTTTCAATCAAACCTAACCTTACCCATTGATATTATTACAAATAATGGCACTTTCCAAATATTGTTCTCAATTTAACAATATTAATGCTTACGGCCTAGGGGCGAGCTACCTTAGTAGAGTATATTATGATTTGTCTTATTTGATCTTAAGATTATAGTTATTCTTAGTTTTTGAGAAACTAAAATCAACTCAAAATTGTTTTCTACGTTTCTTGTCGAATCTAATCTAAACGAATAATAATATTACGATTATGATCACGAAAAGTATTCAATTTACAGACCTACTTAGTGTGCATTACACCAATTCACAGTTTGGTCATTTCCATTAAACAGTCAGTAGTAAAAAAATAAGTTGGGGGTAAATAACGTTGCATAAATATTGGCAATCGCATAACAAAAACATAGATAATTTATACTAATTTATTATTATCCGAGTTAAAATTTATAAACAACTGCTCGTAAATATACACTTAACGATAATAATTACAATACTTATAAGACGATTTAGAAATATTACCTATGGAAAATCAACTTGTGCTTAACTAAATTGATGTTTACGGGGAAATACATGGGGCGTATGTGGGAATATATAATTAATTAATTGTTGTGTTTAAATCCAAATAGTAGCTGGTACAATATAATATATCAGTCCAAAACTATGTTGTTGTTTCCACCGGAACCAGAAGACAAAATCGACTGGCCGTCCATCATCATCGATTGATTGCTCATGGACATGGACGACGGATTTAGGTTATTCGATGACGACATCGGTGGAGGAAGCGGCGTGGTCGGGTTCGAAGATGATCCATAGCCGGATCCCATTAAATTACTCCCATACCCTCCGAGTCCGCCACCGGCACCTCCGGCCGATCCACCCGCACTGCTCGTGCTGCGCAAAGCACGGTACTTGGTCACTTCGTTCGGGAAAGCGGTCCCGAGATCTGCAAGCATTTGCGCTTTGAATTTTCGCAACGAATCGATTTTCCCTTTGACTTGTTCGTTTTTGTTCAACGCCTTTTCTATACAGTCCTTGGTGTACAGCTGCGGATTTCTACCACGATCTATGTACCTGTAACGTAATTGTAAATTATTCAATGCACGTTGAAATCGAAAAAAATACTATATCTATTATATCTATAACATTACGTTCTAGAATAACTGTCGCAGTGTTCAAATCATTAATGTTTGAATTTAACATTTTATCTAATTTTTTTATATTTTTCTTAAAGTTTCATTTTTTAATAAAAAATACTTTTGGAATTATGACCACAACAGTTATAGGAGAACAACACAAAAACGTACATCATGTTTTTATGTCAAACAATGATAACAATAATATAATTTAATCTGAAATCTAAGTAGTTAATAGGAACGGTATATTCCTAAGTAGATTATAGATTTAACACAAATCAGATTAATCCTGATAGGAGTGTATTTTTAATTTACGGGTTTGTTCATTCTAGACGATAATGTATACTGTATATCATTATAATTTTATAAACTCAATTAACTGATTAAAAATAAATCTTTTATTTTAATAAAACTTGAAAAGTATAATACATATTATACAACATCATACGAATATCAGAAACAAATATTAAAATACAATTTTGCTCAGTAGATTTATTAAATAATTGGCCATAAAACACTACACCGGCCAACAACGAATTTTGAGTTTGGGTTGAAAATGCTGGATTGTCAATCCTTAATAGTTTGGGGAGCAGAAAATATGAATACCTAAAATTGTATTTATTTAGTTATGTATTAACTTAAAGAAAAGTAATTGGCAATTTCTCGACTGGTGTTATATTTAAATAAATTTAACAATTTTATTAATTCCATCGTACGAACTGGATCGCTGTCGTTTATCTCATTTCTTTTTTTAAAATTATATTCGACAACACGACGGTCATCGGTCTAGTGTTAGAGTAAGGTATAGAAGATTGATTTGGATTTTTATTTTACATTCGAGGAGAGTGTTAAGTTTGTTTACAAAGTAATGCATAATAAAACCTCAATGGACGTAATGTGTTACAATAGTAAGTAAAATAATAATATTGTAAAATTATGACTTACTCAAAAACTTCTAAAGGTACATGAATATCTTGAACGGCAGACTTGAGTTTATTGATTTCCTGCAATCCTTGGACAGCATTTTGTCTGCACATAAAACTTAGAATTAATATAAAACAATAAATATATTTACTGTAGAGTTGCTGTTACAGTTCTTAGTAAATTGTTCAAGGTTTAATTGTGTTTGAGTGTTTGAGGCCTTTGTCTTAATATTGAACTTCATTACATTTTTTTTTTTGTCAATTACACGGATATGACTATGGCACTTTGCTTTGTACATAACCATCACCGTGTTTCCCTGGCGTTATACAAAATCCTCGTTAACGAGTATTTTACCGCCTTTTTATTTTTGTTAAAATAATTCAAGCCCCGTTCAATAAAATACAATTAAAATATCGCAATCATTTATCATACACTATGAATTAATCGCTAAATTTCTGAACATTTCCCACCTAATGTAAATTATTAGTTAATTTTATCGCTTGTTAAGTATTTAAACCATGGATAATAATTTTATATTTTAAACAATTTAACCATGTGATAGCGCGATAAATATAATAAATATGAATATTAAAAATTTGTTTGTATTACGGTGTTCACCTATAGTGGTCGCGATAACCAACGGAAGTCCACCACATATTCAGGTAGTCGCGATAACTGACAAGTGCCAAAAATTCAAATAGTTAAAGAACAATTGTAACAACATTCAAGGTTTCGTACTTTCAAAGTTAAAAAAAAGATTTTTACATGACGAGTCTTGTCAAAAGTTCGGAAAGTGTTTGAACACCTTCATCCGGCGGTTCACCAATTATTTAATTTGTTGAAATGTATTATTAAGTTTGGACTTACATTTTTTGATTTAACACTGTCTGACCCTGGGGTTGAAAATCTGTAACTATTATGCGTATCTGCCTGACGTTTTCTACGAACATTTCCAATTGCGTTTCCAAATCTTCAAGCGAAGCTGCTGCGGCGGCCGCGGCCGCTGACGAAGCAGCCATAGTGTGGTGTGTTTTTATCAATTGTTGTCACCTAAATTGTGTACACCGCCAATCATAGTGTAATAACTATTGGAAAATAATATAATTTAGTTGACGCCAAAAACTGAAAACTAATATTTTCCAAGACTGAAGACGTAATGTTATGTTATACTTATTATTATTATTATTATTATTATTATTCTCGTGTCCTTCCCGAAGTTCTTTAACCCGTGATAATAATTGATAACACTATATTTGAACAGTGTGGCAACTTGAAGAAATAAAAACATGCCAAATAACCGTGGTCCGTGTTACACTGCTTTGTTGCATTTGTTGCAAATTATCAGTAATTAAGGCAAAGAATAAAAATTGTTGTGTTCTTAGTTCCTACAAAAACAAAAATGTTTTCATTAAAACTAAGTAGTAAGTAGGTATTTTCATTGCATTTTAAGAGTAGTGATTTTGTAAATAATTGTTAAAAAAATTATCAAATTTGTTCAGTATGTCTTATACTTTTGGTCGTTCTTACTTTTCAACGACCAAGAAATGTTTCAGCATAGTTACAGTAACGTCATTACATATTTAATAAAATAAAAAATATAATTAAGCTGATACAAATACCTGTCAACTGAGCAATGTTGGTATCATGGTGTACTCAAGAGTTCTAAAAGATATAGGTACTATAATAAATTAAGGTTAATATATTTTTCAATACTATAAATTGTGTACAATCAAAACTTATTACATTTAATACCATTCAGGGATTATAATTGGCTACTTTATACAAAATTACCGCCCAACACGTTAACACTATTATTACAAAAACCTTCTTCGTGTAAATTGACATTTTAATCTTTGATCTGTACAACCATTATCATATATATATAGTCATTAAAGTCAATATAGCTACAAGTATTACTGCTAGGTAGATCACTTTAATTTGACATAGGTACAAACATACTTGGTACACTCATTTGTATGCATTATACAGACAACTCAACTTTTTAACAAAAAAAAAACATTTAAATGAATACCCAGTCTCAAATTACCATCAACATACGGTTTAGGTGTGTTTTGTAAGGCACATGCCTGAAAAATGATTATAAAAAAAAAAAACTACATAATTGATGTATATGCTATTAGGTCATTTAATAAAAAGTAACAAGAGAAACCACCAAATTTCGGTATGAAGAGGAAATTTAAATGGTTGTCGATCGAATATATTGTAGTAACATAAAGCATATGTTTAAGTTTTAACTATATTTATTAAACTATCATTTTGTAATAACATATTATATATTCAAATTTATACTATATGTGACATTTTTATATAACTATCATGTTATTATTATTCAATATACAACGCGCGTAGTGTGATATAGAACCTCTTTGAATAATTTCAATAAACTTAAAATACTCTAATAGATAGCGTACATACTCATTTTAGGCGTAACATTTACATAACAATAGGTTCATTAAAGAAGGAGTTAAACACACGACTCGACACGAACTTATCCGAGACGAACTTAACCAACACAGAAACGCACTATTTAACCCAGCCCACAGCGCAGCGAAGCGCAGTTGCTCTCTCACATCTCTCATACAACCTTCCTCTCCTTATTGTGTGGACGCCAAAGTCGGGTAGCTGTTATCAGTCCGCCGCGGCCACCAATATCCTTCCTTTCCTTATTGTGTGGACGCCAAAGTCGGGTAGCTGTTATCAGTCCGCCGCGGCCACCAATATCTTTCCTTTCCTTATTGTGTGGACGCCAAAGTCGGGTAGCTGTTATCAGTCCGCCGCGGCCACCAATAACATAATCCTTCCTTATTATCCTTACACATACATACGCCGAGTCCGTAGCGATATATATATAAAAATACTATATTCATTACAATTCAATTACTTAAAACCGTACGAGTTTCTTATCACACACGTGTCATTATTAAGCAATAAAAACACTGTTGTTCTTTCGTTCATACATATACCTATACCTATACCTCTTAAAAGTGTCGTTAAAGGTCATTAATTCTAGCGGTCGAACAATCCTATTACACCCATGTGACTATTTTTGGTCAGCAAGGAATGTAGTCGGCTTATAATAACTCAGTAGACGTTGTTATTTCTGACAAGCGCATTGATTATTATAAAACCATTGGTAGACCGTGTACTGAATTACACTTTAACGAGAGATAGATGGTCGTAAGATAACGTTAAAACACCAGTGTCTGAAATATATTTTATGAATGAAAACATTCGTGTTAAAACAACGTTCATTTCGACATATCAAGATCACATACTCAAGGAATATCGACAAGGTCATAGAGCTTCGAGTGACTCCACGACAAGGTATGTACTGTATACAATATTATAACACTGTGTAATAGTAAGTCTAGAGGCAGGAAGTGAGCCCTTGTAGTAAACATACACACATGCACACCCCGATTAAGAGCCGTTTTCATACTTATTTAAAATATCCATTCACCGCCGCTTCCCCGTCCTTTTCTTCTATTACAAAATGGCGCCCAACGTAAAAAGCTTTTATTCCACAAATCACAAAATTTTTGGCTTCGCCCGAAAAAAACCGCTGCCCAATTTTTTCACAACTACAAAAACTTGGTAAAATTACAAGAAATATAAATATAAAACATTAAGTAAATTATATATTAAATAAACATACGAACTCTTAAAAATACTGACATTAAAGTTAAAAAAATAACTAGCATCTCTGAACTGATATAACTAGAAGTTTTATTTTTCATTCTACAATTCAAAAACCATTTTTGAAAATATTACAACTATTAGAGTATACATACTACACTAATATATAACTAACATCCGATAAAACGTTTTAAATGGAATCTAAACATACATATAGTACTTATGAACGAAACAACTTAAGTCAATTAGAAGGCACCCTTGAATACTGTTATGACAGAATTACAGTGACGCCAACCAGGTCATTAAATGATCTAACCGAGATTAACACGGCAATACACGGGTAATTGAGCCCCGACCGATTTTTCTGTAGAACACTTAACAGGGGTGACAAAACTTCTCTTTGTACACCAGACATAAAACTCTTAAAAATATCGTTAAATTTTTCATTACAAAACTCTCAAAAATGCCTAATTTGCTTACAAACTTAAATATTTAATAAATATATATACCTACAAAATGTTTTTTTTGTAACATATCCAAATTTTCACAAACATAAACACTTAATAATTTCAGCTTTGTCAATACACTGAGGAAATGTAACTCTTTTAATACACAAATACTTAATTTCGATTTTATTTTTTACATATCTTGGTGAATATCATACTATAGATCTATATACTATCTTATTATAGATGTAGATAACTTTAACATTATAACCACTGCATCATACCAACATAAATTTTGAATACAAAAATAATATTGTTCTAACATAGTTCATTTTTATAATAATAACAATAATATACATAACACCTATAAAATAAAGGCCACTCATATAATAATACATGCTAAAAAATATATATATATATAAAGGGCAATACACATAGGCCTAACATATAATAATAAAAATAATATTAATGCTAATAAATAGAGCATTAATAAATAAATAACGCTTTTATATAAGCCAAATATATAATATTGAAACCGATAAAATTATATAAATATAGCAATGAACTTAACAAGAATAGGTTTTCATTAAACAACATAATAATAATATTCGCCAAGCAAATCGTATAACATTATGAATCTTTATAACAAATATTATAAAAACAATAATATAACAAAATCAAATTTAGTATAAAAGTATCACCCTTTTATAATTTTAATAATGCAGTAAACAAATCCATTACAATTATTTCACAAAAAATAATGCGTAAAATAGTATAATTTCCTAACATTCACAATATTTCCACATATCCCATAAACAATTATCGAATTTTTGCAAACAATCCTTATACACAATATTACTGTATTACACGAAATCAACTACAATTCACACCTAATTTTTTTTTAAATATCACTTTAATACGCTCAAGCGAGGCTTCAGGCCGAAATAAAAGATCATACTAGTATACTTAATGAACCATAAATATAAAACTGAAATTTATCATAAAATACCAAATCAAAAACTATCATTACTTTAATACCAGTATTAAAACACTTTTCTAATTACAAACCGAGATACCTAATGGCAAATGCAAACGGGAAATGTCCTTATAACCTAATAATGCTAATAAAATTGCGACCCATAGGATTTTCTTAATTTAAGGTTTCAAACATAGAAAAATAACATCACACACAATATTATTACCGACAAAATGTCGGGATATAGCATCAATACTAATTACAACATTAAATATACTACCAATAATTAATATAAGCATTATATCGCAAAGTTAATTTACATAAGAATAATATTAATAATCCTTGTATAATAAGTGATATTAATAATGATAATATTAAAAAATATATACATAAAATATGCTAATAAATATTACATAAATAATACAGACCAAATACCAAATATATAATAAAAATTTTTTTTTTTTAAAAAACACAGGCTATTTTCATAAAGAATGTTAATATAGGCTACATACATAATAAGAAAGCCAAACAAACAATAAAAAATATTGAATAATGATACAAGAAATGCTATTGATCATTTATTTACAATACAAATATAAACATACATAAATGAGATATCAATAATATAGATATCATATATAAAGTCTAAACATATAAACAAGATGCTGATAAATACTCTATTACACAAATAATAAAAATACACACAGGCCAAAAAAATACATAAATGATGCCAAGTAGGACCAATTGCATAACGCTAAGATCAGACAAAACATACATACTGGGAAAAATATATAAAAAAATTCTAATTTGGTATAAAAGTATGATATTTTTCATACAACTCATACATTACACATATAATTAATATATTCACAATAGATTATAAAACTACTTTTAATGTTATGCATTGAGTCAAATGCGTTACAGCAAAATTAAAACACAATTTTGATACATAAATCATCTAAAAGGGAGATAGATAACACAAATTAACAAGAATATAAATACTTTATTAAGATAAATTACCACTTATATTAAACAAAACTAAATCATTTCAATAAAATTGCCCATCACAATAAAATTCACTTAAGCCAAGAATAAATTACACTATACAATTTTCTTATAATTATCATATAACTTTAATGACACAAAAT